TATAATATTTTTTAATTTCATATATTATTTTGGTCTCGGATCTTCCCATGCAGGCCTAGAAAACAAATTTTTATAAACTTTTTCCTTGGCTTTTTTTTTCTGTGTTGGTGCAGCCCAATGCTCTTCCAACTAGCTACGCGGTCAGGACGGTTCGAGTAAGTGATATTTCGGAACAGAATCTAGTTCCTTCGAATCTAGTTCCTTCCGGGCGTTGCCACCCCCCCCCCAGATATTTATCCACCCCCCCGAACGAAAATATACTGTGGTTAGAGCTCGACAACTGGATCTTCTAACTCAGTTGTTTAGAGCGCTCGACCGGAATCGCCTGGTCTCAGGTTCCATTCCTGCCAGAGGGCCTATCGGTCTGACAATAGTCGGTGCGTCCAGCGAGCGTCGGATGACTTCAGACCGATCTGAACAATTTTTCGTCTCGGTCTCATGTAAACATCTATCATAAATAATATTATGACCGAAATGAAATACGGGGCCTTAGTACAAAGCACTTCCCCGTGTTTTTTAAAAACAAATTTTCTTTGCAGAAATTATCGCTGTTAAAGAAGTTACTGGATGGAGACCATGACGGTCAGTTGAAAACAATGGAGTCTCGACATGAGAGAGAATGTGCAGACCTTCGTAAGAATCAGGTCAAACAGTCTGTAGAGACATCGAAAAATGCTGGCAAACAGATCAAGTGCAAAGAAGAGAAAGAGAGGTATCCGTGATAAGCTATAGTTTAACTTTGTTATGTTTGTGTGAAAAACACCATGTTTATTCGTTTAGCACAGTTTTCTATCTGTAAACCCTGGAACCCAATTTCGCCCAGTAGGAATATCGCCCTTCCAGAGGAAAAGGTGAATTTTGTAGGAATCACATTAAATTGCCATTAATATCTGGCAATAGCTCAGCTTCAGTCATACGAAATAAAATATTTCAACTGCGTTTTCACACGAAATAATTGAAAGTCTTGTCTCGTAAGAGAACTAACCTACAGCAGGGTAGTGCAGGTACGTCATGAGTAACGAATCAAGAAGGAACATAAAATCCGCGCTCCCATTGTTTTCCACTGATCTCTATTCCTAACTGAAGCGACGAGGGAAAACTACAGCGAAAAGTTGATCAAGACGAGGGTTTTTACCATAAAGATATATTACATTTCTTTTTAAAATACCCAAATATTACGTACACATAAACACACAAGAAATAACTGCGGAGGAAAGAAAGCGTAGAACACGCTTCTGAGAAAATGTGAAGAAGCGGATCAGTCTAAGGACTCCTTAACATATAACCGTGCCAGAAGAGTGGCAGATTCATTGAGGTAACCGTTTGCGCGTCCATTTTTTCAGATTCAAATATTTCCACGTTTCCGGACAGGCTCAAAACTAAAACATTTCGGTTTCGCAATGAATCCAGAATCTTTCGCTCTAGAGCTTAGGGCGTGTTCCTATAAGCCCAGCAAACTCACCTGAGTGACATTTGCTTTTCGAGTGCAAATGGGGAGGGGGGTTTGTCGGAAATTTGAACGTTTTGTCGGAAATTTAAAAGGCTTCGCCCCCCCTCCACCGGAAAAAGTGAATTTCCGCCACTGTACGTCACGACTAACACTGTTTTCATCTTAGGACCACCTTAAATGGAATAGATTTCAAGTTTTTCTCTCACGGGCTATGGTCAAAGAGACAGAACATCTTTCTTCAACACATGCATAAAAAAGGATTTTGACTATTAAATGTGGAAATAACCTTAAACACGAAAACAAGGCTGAGGGGCCATGGCCCCTCTTGAAACTTAAAATCCATTCCATTTAAGGTGGTCCTAAGTTGAAAACAGTGTTAGTCGTGACGTATAATTACCGGAAAGGTCCATTGGTTCCAATTGGGATTTGGGCCTTTCCTATAGAAATTCATATTTCAATTCGATTTTTTATAATCTCGTAAAATGAATTACAGTTAATTAATTAACCAAACTTAAATGAAATGCCCCTAGTTGAGGTTACTTTGAATAGATAAAGAATACCACAGAATTATCCTCAACTCGATATACATTGCCTCTATCTATCTTGTACATTTGTAGTTATTAATATTTACACAGGAGCTTAGCTTGGCGAGGTTTTATTGGGCAGATAGTTGATGCATTTGCATTATGTTGACATTTTATTCTGCATGTCAACTGCACAAGGGATATATGTATGTATATATAGTTATTTACACGGGAGTTCTGCCCTACAAGGGAACACAATTTTATTTATTGGAAAATATAGTGTAATATTATATAATATTATATATTATTGGAACGTTAAAGTTCCCCTGTTGTCCTGTTTTATTATTCTAGTGAAAGTATACTTTATGCAGGCAGCTTGCGAAAGCAATGTTTCTCAGCGGTACAATGTTGAGTATAAACAAGACGCCCTATTGAAGTTGGTCGCTGGAGTAAGCGGTGATCTGACTGAAATTTGATCGTGATTGAAATTAAGGTTGCAGCCTTTTATTTGTTTATGGCGCATATATTACACCATTGAAATGAATATAACCACATAACCTATATTAAAGTAAGGTGAATAAGTTGCGGTAGGCTTCCAACAACGAACAAGTGGTCTAGTGGTAACGATGTCGGACTGTAAAAGCCAATGTCGTGTATCAGGATCGGTTCGAGGACGAATGAAAGAATAATGAAGAAAAAAAGATGGCGGACGAAAGAAGAAGAATTAACAAAAGAAAATGGTGGCCGGGCAAATGTTTGGAGAAGATACTACCAATGAAATTAATCTTTAGTAGTTACTGTGGCGCATGCGCGGTAGACTTAGAATATGAAAAGTGTGCGGTGGGAAGGCGGCAAAGTAGGAAGGCCCCGCGGGGAGGGGGTAAGAGAGGAGCAGGGAAAAAAATTACTAAGTCTTTTCTCTTTTTTTTTCGGGGAAACAGAACCCCCGATTTTTCCCACTCCGCATACGGCCGGTCAGATCGATTACCTGAGCACGAAGTCTCAGCCGGTCTTACCCGGACTCGATCCTTCCACCATACCACCCAAAGGCTTTGAGCGGTACCACTGGACCACTAGGTCTAATGGTAAAAGCTTGATGTTTTCTATCATAGCTAATCCTTTTTCTCTACCCTATAATTAATTCGTACCCATGACAAAGGAAAAGGTCCTTGGACTATAGTCATGACTATATTAATGACTGTTAATGACTTTGGCGGTATGCGTTTTAGAGACCCACAAAGGACTAAATTTCGATATATCTTGCACATAAGTTCATAATCTGTAATAACTCTCTGTTTGTTAGTATTTTTTCTGTCTCAAGCTCTGGATGAAATAAAAATTGTAGAAAATATATTGTTCTGCAGTGGTTCCTACTGAGCTGAGAATGTCAACCAATCATTCATCAACAGAAACATTTCGAAATAGATATGCAATAGATTCTCCATTATGAATTCTCCTTATAGCCTCGCTGAGTAAACCACTGATGTCAATTGTCTTAATTTTATTACATCGCTTTTTCTTCTCCTCATGTTCGACTGTATTGGTCATGATCAGACCATCAATGTCGGAACTTTGTACCTGCTCGGGGCCACACCCGGATAAAATACCATGGGTAACAACCACATACACTTCCTTCGCGCCGTTCGACTTGAGCACTTGAGAAGCGACGATGTATGGACTTGCATCATCTATTAGATCATTCACAATGACAGCGATCTTGTCACGGACATCTCCGACGACATACGTCGTCCGCGACCTTCCCGTGAAGCACTGCGAGTTGTACACGTAAACGTTCTGCGTAGGGACTGGCCCGGGTAGCGGTATGCGGGTTCAGGGCCACTATCACTAGTTCCCCGCGCGGTCTTATCTGATTCTGGATATGTAGTTCTGCTTAACTTGTGGCAACAATAGAACTGTTACTAAATAAGTTTTGTACTGGCACATCTTGTTTTCTGTGCGGTAAAGCGAAATAAAGAACGGTATACTTGAGTTAAGGTAATATACAGAGCACGGCCTATTAAAAGTGTGCAGTATTGCACCCTTTGTGCAGTATTGAATAAAAAGTGTGCAGTATTGACTGCAAAAGTGCGCAGTATTGAAATTTGAAATAAGTTTCAACCTTGTATTAGATGAAGGAGCGAAGTAGATGAAATATAAAGTTGAGAATTCCAAAATGCCTTTGCAACAAAATGAGCAAAGACACAAACAAAGATTGGCCAAATACATGCCAAGTTCCAGTAATAATTCCAATATTCAATATTGTATTGTCCAAAAAACCCGGTGTACTTCTTTCCTCCATTCTCGTACCCAGAGCCCTTCTTACGCGCGGTGCGACGAGGGGCTCTGGCCAAATCCATATTCCGAACTGGCATCTGATTGGCTAGTTCTAACACCGGACATTCTTTTCTTACCATGTTTTTGTGGTATCCGGTTATGGATTTGGCCAGAGCCCCTCGTCGCACCGTGCGTAAGAAGGGCTCTGGGTACGAGAATGTTCTTTCCTCCACAAGAGGGAAGAGCCTGGGAACGAGGTTGTCATTTGTGTCGCATCAGCGAATTACCTCAATAGGTTATGGCTGATTTGAATTTGAAAGGGTTTACTTTTTTGGGGACACCCTGTATGTTGTCATTATGTTCTATATAAAAACATAACAATTCAAAGATGACGTGGTCCAGTTTGAAACAGTTCGTGCAGAGAATCAATAAGACTGATTCAATATGGCGCCTTAAATAACATCGCTGAACAAGTGACATTGAGTCTAATGCATGTCGAACCAGAAACAGCAAACCAATCTACGAAATAGAGTACAAAACAAAAATGGAAAATGAAAACGTTTTGGAAATAAAAAGACAGGTAAAATTCGAGGCCAATTTCCACTTATTAGTTCCACTCCAGTGTTTAGGAAACAAAGAAATCATGATGTTACGCTTCGGTACGATTCAAGTGGAAACGGCTTTTAAGGGGCTGATTACATGGACCGGGCTGAAAAATGTCACGAAAATCTTCCTTGGGCCGCAAAATGAGTTTTAAATCGGGTTTAGGATGATTTTGCATCTATACTAAACCAATTATTTATCGCAAATTTATTTTACGCGAGTTTTAAAACCACAGTAAGGTCCTAAACAAACGAGTCAGCCCGGTTAACCGGGCCAGCTCGGCACCATGTAATCAGCACCTAAGACTCTTTTAAAAAGCTTAATTATACAGTATACAAAATAGAAAGCCTTTGTTTGGAGCCAATCATATGAGCCGGAATGAATCGTGTCACGAAGGTCAGAACTAAGTCTAAGTGAAAACCCGCACAAGTTATTGTCTTATTTGTGCTTATCGTGCTTTTGAACAATTTAATTAAACTTTGTGATAAATCATGCACTCCTTCCACGAATTGAATATCACCTATAATAGATTTAATAGCACAATCAAAATAGAAAATAGGTCAGAAAAAATTAGTAAAAAGCCAAAAATTAGCGTATGCACTCTCTTCAGCAACCTTGATAACATATACTAAAAGTCCTCATGTATCCTCTTGGAGCTTTCTCCATTATGACAAGTTTTTTGTTCGATTTCCCTAGTGAACTCCTATATTGTTAAAAAAGTGAAATTTCAGATTCATTTATAGGAAAAATAAGTTACATCATTAGAAAACTTACAAAAAACTACATATAAGACATTTAAACGGCTACCTTGATTTTGCAAGTTCTTCTTAGACTTATGAGCTGTTGGAAACGTGTTGTCAGACTAGTACCCAGGATTTTTGCCAGATTCAGTTGGCCTATTTGTCACATTTGGAACAGCAATAACTCGAAACCGCTTGAAAAATTTAGGTGACTGTTTAAATGTCTTATACGTAGTTTTTATGAGCTTTCTAGTGATGCGAGTCATTTTTGTTGCGAGTGAACTTGAAATTTCATGTTTTTTAACAATATTTTTGACTAATTCCAACTGATTGGTTCATTATTCTTTGTCACGTGATCGCTTTCATATTCTTGGTATAAAAGCGCATCCCCGCTACTAACTTCTCGACGAAGGGCCTTCGCTCGAAACGTCGAATAGACAATTCCCATTGTTGACTAATTTTAAAACTAGGCAAGGAAATGCAAATAAATCACCACAGCTAGAAAGAGCATACTAAAATTAGTAAAATTGCAAAGTTTGGTTGCGAAATGTTGTAAAATGCGGAAAATATAGCCTTGCAAACTTTGCAAATTTTGTATACTTTTGTATTGCGTGCGGAAATTCCTACCACATTTGGGCCCGAATGTGGTAGGAATTTCCGCACGCAATACAAAAGTATACAAAATTTGCAAACTTTGAAAGGCTATATTTTCCGCATTTTACAACATTTCGGAACCAAACTTTACAATTTTACTAATTTTAGTATGCTCGTTATGGCTGTGGTGATTTATTTGCATCTCCTTGCCTAGTTTTAAAATTAGTCTATAATGGGAATTGTCTATTTCGCTTTATATTTTTCAGGTAGTTGCATCCCTACTAACGAAAGCTTGTTATTAGTGGCAACACTGGTACATACTGTTCAAGATTCTGTTCGTCACTCAGGCTAGTGTATTGGTAGAACTATAGTGCAATTAGGCTTAAAAATTTGTCCGGTGTTTCGATATTTGCGCAGTGATAAAAGAGATTTTGTGCAGTACTGATTTTCTTTAATATTTAACTATATAGGTGATATTAATTCGTGGAAAGAGTGCATAATTTATCACAAATTATGTTTCAATTGTTCCAAAGCACGATAAGTACAAAGAAGACAATACGTTATGCTGGTTTTCACTTGGTGTTTTCAAATTTGACATAGAACTTTGTGTGGCCTAATATTCAATCTTTCAAAATGGCATTGTGTCTGAAAATGACCCCATCCCAAAAAATTCTGTCTTGCAATTCTTCATCACCTAGTTCGGTCCTTTTTCTTAGGTTTCCATTTAAAAATCCTGTTTGGGATTTCTAACTATTGTGTGATATGCTGCTATTTTATGTTCTTTTGTGCAGTGATAAAATTTAAAATAATCCCTGAGCCACAGCGCCTCGCTTTTCAACACACTATTCGGTACTTTGTACGCCGGTAATAAACACTTTCTCGTTTCTTATATATTTCGTAAACATCCTTTAAATATCAGTATTAAAGTAAAGAGCTCACCTCAAACCAGCAGAATTCACAAAATGTGAAGGATGTTCCAGTTTTGGCAAAGGAAACTCCTTGATGCCATCAGGAGAGGTTAGCTTGGTTGCGCAATGAAATTTTAACATCCTGTCCAACGTCTGATGGCACACAGACAGCATTCAGAAATGGCTGTGACGACATGCAGTAGTACCACGACCTTGACAACATACATTGTGTGATAGCAAGCACGTCGCTTTCAGAACATTAAAATTTACAGTGTCAACAAAACATTTGGCATTCACAGATCAAGTGACAAGTGTGCAAGCATGCAGGGTCTTAGCTAGAGGACCGTGTTGGCCGTGTTATCGCAGCCAAAAATGGAAAAACACGGCTAGATAAAATGAACGCGGCTTCACTATTTATATAAGGCCGTGTAGGTAATCATAAAATAAGGTGTTGCTGCTGACAACAGACAGAATTTCTTCCTATTTACGTCATAAGAAAGTTTGTAAAATCTACTGTTGTTGTTGAATTGGCAAAAGTGATCCGTGATGTTTTAATATTTTGATGGATAATGGGAACTGTATGGTGTTAAAATGGTTTTAAATACCCCCAAGAGTTGCTGAAATAACTTAATATTTTAATGTCAGTGCGCAATATGAGTGTATGGTCGCCTTGTATTTGGTTGCAATGCACAGAACAACCACAAGCATTATTGTTGGCGAGTATAACTAGAACCGTGATTTTGCTATTCAAGGTAATTGACATGTGCACGCCTTGGTCATTAGAAACACGCCCAAGATCTAATATACTAGCTAAGACCCTGTTTACTCATCAGTCTTCACTTTGCTTCACTTTATTGATCAGTCCACTGTCCACTGAGAATCCACTGAGATCATACACTGTTACGACAACTTTTCATAGATAATTTTTACTTCGTTGAGTCCACTGACGAATTTGGGTTGTGCACGCCCTTTTATACTAACGGTTGTGGGATCTTTGTACACGTGATGTAGCAAGTGGTGTGATTTGTATCCAGCCAATCAACGTTGAGGTTTAAAAGTGTGGGTTGGCGTTACTAGCTCGTTCCAGCCCTCAAATTCTGTTTATTTAAGGCGTTGTCGCACTGGTCGAGTTGGTTCGCTGTTCAATCGATCAATATTAAAATATGTTCACAACTTAAAATACTTATTGAAATATCATAGTAAAAACTTCAAACTATACCTATGTGAACCTTACTTTACCTACTAACCTAAATTCACTTACAATTTTATTGAACCAAGATTTTGATGACGTAATGTTATCATTACTCAACCGCGCGAAATATACCGAAGAATGATTGACAGAAAGGCCCTAAGCATACACATTTTCATGTCAGAGAAGAACCAGCCTTGGACTTTGAATTATGTAAACACAACAGCCCACCATGCAAGGTTATCGTCCATCTTTGACAAATTGACGAGTTATCTATCTTGCCTAATGAGTAATTGACAGATAATTGACATTTTTACGCACGTCCGAAATGAGATATACTTTATCTGTTTATTTTTCGTCAAAAATGCTCATTATCTCTCCATTCGACGTAACTGGTATTTTATAGTTACCTGGGGTGCAAATTGAACTATTTTTATACTATTTTTAATACTTTCGTAACACGCTGATCCTAGATGGGTGTCTACGTGAGAACCATGTACTATCAAAACTCGAACAAACTTTAGCCATTGTGCTTGCAACTAGGTTTTACCCGTATTATTGTGTTATAGTAGTCTTTTTAAAACACGCATGGAAAGAAATCTTTTCTAACATAACGTTGTTTTGTCAATAATTCAATTCATATTGCCAATTGGATTTAAAATTTTTGTATGTATTTTTATTAGGCGCGGTAAAAATAACCACTTTCCGCTCAAAAATGCTTATTTTTCTCGCGCGTAAATGCAAATTTACAAAATTTGCGAATTTCACAAAGCTATATTTTCCTCATTTTAAACATTTCGCAACCAAACTGCAATTGCAACTGCAGTTTTACTCATTTTAAGATGCTCTTTCTAGGTGTGGTGTTGGATTTCGTACTTCTTGTCTAGATCAAAATTTCGTCCATCAGGCATAGCTGCAATCACCCATTCAGCCTACTCATATTTCGCCTCGTTACGCCACGAAGTATATAGCACCCTTTCTATATATACACTATACCCGCGGCCCTCATCTGAAGGAGTGTCAATGGGGGATTAATGGTTATTATAAATACATTATCATTATGTACACTACAGTACATTTATTTATCTAATTGGAGGCAGACCATTAGAAACTAGGTGAAGCTGGGTGCAGGCAGGGACGCCGTAACGATGTGAAGGCAAGGGGGGCAGATTTGCAGTTTTTAATTGATATATACTAAGAGATGTTTAAAAAACATCGGGAGTTGAACTTCGCCTAATCATGTTTTCTATTTATTGGATGATAGAGGTGTGAGGGGGTTCTCCGCCAGGCGATTGTGCTAATTCTTGAAGGTCAATGACTGCATTTCTTGCGTTTTCTGAAGCAATTTCGTAAAAGAATTGCACTCACATTTCTGACAATCGCTATTTCGCCAAGGCAATCCTTTAAATTGAAAGGGCACCTTTGCCCCCCTTGCCCCTCCTGGTAAAGGGCAACGGGGCGCTCCGTTCCGGCGTCCCTGGGTGCAGGGAAACAGAATGGAAAAAATCGAATCAAGCAAAACAATTCAGAAAAATGCATACAACCATGTGGCAAAAAACACCACTGACAACACAAAAACACCATGTAGTTATAGAAGCTGTGTACCTATCGTAACCATAGCCTACCACAAATGGAAGACGGCTGTAAAATTAATTAGAATAACAATATAAATATTTCTCATTATCTACGTTAGTCAACGTTTATTCATAAATACAGTCCTTCACCATCATAACGTGTACTATTGCATTTTTGCAAAAATTCTTCCACCTTCCTTCACTTTTCTAATGGTCTGTTGATCCCTTACCCTATTGAGTGCCAGTGCTCTCCTCTTGGTAGGTAAAACCTGTCTGGCATTAGACAAAGTAAAATAAATAAAAGTAGGGCACATGGGGCTGCAATTATAGACACATGCCTGGGCAGTTGTCTGGTTAACCCATTGAGTGAAGTGTATGTATATTATCACCATAGATAGTGCATCTAATTAACATACACTAGATAGTGCATCTAATTAATGACTCATTAATCTGCAATTCAAAAATTGAAGCCGTGATTGCAGACTCAGGATATTCTGATGAAATTAGAAGACTCGTATGTTTGAAGACTGTATGAACTTAAACATGAAGTTAAACCTATTCCAAATACATTTTTAAACTATTCAAATGATGAAAGTTATTGTTGTTTTCTAAGTGTTTATTAGCGAGTGGGAAACTCCAACATGGCCGCCATCTATTCAAATGGGGGTAACCGCTGTACTATTCTTGGCTTCAATTTTACTAAAAGAGATGCGCTATCTAGTTAATATAGATATCTATGATTATCACCTTTGAAGAGTAAAATCGTCTGGCATTAGAGAAAATACCGTAAACCTCTGAATATAAGCCCCCCCCCCCAATATAAGCCCCCCGTGTATAAGCCCACCACATGTACTAACGCTCACCTCATTCCAAATATAAGCCCCCCCCAATATAAGCCCACGATTACCTGTATAAGCCCATCAAAAATCGCTTATGAAAGAATATAAGCCCAGGGCTTATAGTCGGAGGTTTACGGTAATAAAATATAAGAAAATAATAATCGGGTACAATGCAACTTAATAGGGGAATTAACACACCCTTCTGGCGAGATCAGCTTGTAAATGCATGCTTACTAATGCACTTGTACTAACAGGATGTAGCAAAAGTGTATGTATATAGTCGCAAAGTCTCTTATTGCCAGTAAAAAGTAAATTAAATCCTTTCCTATTATCAATAGGCTGTATATTGAGTTTATTAACCAAGACACCAATGAATATATCTTCTAAATGGATCACTTGTTCAGTGTACATGGGTTTGAGGATCAGGCCTGCAAATGATTAATTAGACCAAAAGTGTTCTGATGGGACCCCCGAAGACGAAGTTTTGGCGAAAACAATCAACGAAGCCATGTTATTGTAAATTCCTAATCTAATTTAGCTCAATTTTGGCTGTAAATTTTGGGATCATTAAACTATCTATCTATCTATCTATCTGGTCGGACATTTTCTAGTTTTTGTCAGACAACGGGCAAAAAAAAATGTTTAGAAATTGGCAATGTATTACGGCTGGTCAAGCTTTTAGGGGTGCATCGGAACTCGGTTCTGACCAGTTAGTTCCGGCCGGAACTCCGATTTTTCAGAGTTCCGGTTCCGGCCGGAACTGGAACTCTGTTATTTTCAGAGAGATAGAATACCAAACGTTTTTGTGTCCAACAAAAGTTCACAGTAGGAAGAAATTTGAACTACACAAGAAAAATATACACCATTACTGTCGTTCCAATTGAAGTGTTGCTTAAATATTGATTCAATACATTACCTTGGGCTGACCAATTCATTTCATCAAGTTCCTCGAGATATTCATACACTTCCTGTGAAAGAGCCAATTCCAAGTATTTGATCATTTCTGGTCACTTCCTTTCTATTTATGATTGGTTAGTAATATCTCGAGGAACTTGATGAAATGAATTGGTCAGCCCGAGGTAATGTATTGAATCAATATTTGAGCAACACTTCAATTGGAACGACAGTAACACTTCATTATGGCGTTTAATGTCTGTCAATCTTTTTATTCTAACATTTGTGAGCTCTCTCCTTGATGACTTTAAGTGTCTACCTGTCTGGCAGCAGACAAAGTAACATGTGACTATATATGGCTTAGTAAATCAGTTCCGGTTCCGTTGAGGTGGAGAGGGGAACAACCAAACAATTCTACTTCCGATAATAGTAAAATGTACTAGGGAGGGGGGAGAGAGAAAGGAAAGGTTAATTTTCCATCTCCTCGGTAAGGAAAGTGATCCCAAGTCTTTGAAATTATAATAGCTGGTCATGTAATTAAACAGTCAAGAAAGTCACAACATCAATAATTTTTTACTATGACCAGCACACCTTTGAATAAGTCTTGGTTCTTTTCTGAGTGATACACCTTTCCCCAAGAACTACGTATTGCATTCCTCTGTTCAAAATTACCAGGAGAACCTCGACCAGTGGCATGCTGGGTACTATTTTTCTGGGGGGCCAGTGGGCTGTCAACCAATATGCGCCCCTATAATATTACACGTGATAAACGAGGGCCGAAGGCACGAGCCTAGCGCCGGAGGTGCGAAGTTTGTCTAGGGGGTCCGGGGGCATGCCCCCAGGAAAATTTTTGAATTTAGAGTCTCTGAAATGCCATTTCCTGGACTTTGGGGGATGATTTGACAGAAATCTGATGGTCAGGAAACAGCATTATAACGTGTCGAAATTTGCAACAATTATGCAATGCTAACCACTTCCAGCGATTAATCTAATCCCAATTCTATTCTCTACTGATCTAGTGATCTGAATACATTTACAACTTACAGCTCTTTTATACAATAATACACGGACGTAGCAAATTAGCAAATACGGCTTAATAGACAAAATAGTCGGTAATTTAATATATCACTTTGTCGTTTTCTTGGCGGAAGTAACTATATTTTTTCGAATGCGTTTTTTCCCACCCACTTTCAAAATTCGGCTTAGGATCGGCGCCCCCTTTTCATTTCTGCGCCCCCCAAGAATTGCTAGCTGGGGGGGCCGTGGCGCCCCGGCCCCCCCTGCCAGCACGCCTACGCGTAAACGTCCTCAAAATTGAGCGCAGTTTCGTACAATTTTCAGTATTCATCAGTTGTTGAGATAACGATGTTAATGTTGCGCCTGTATTCTAAATGCTTACACTCAATGAGTGGAAGTTCAATCTGAGCTTCCCTTGAGTGTCAATGCTGTTTTTGAATATAGGTACGCCACTAACCCTCCAGCTATGGTCAGTATTCATAAACAGCGACACATGGGAAGGCACGTTGAGCAACCACCAGTGACGTCCAACACAGTATGCACAAGATAATGTGCAGACGGCAAACATTGTCAAGTATGCTTTCGTCTTCGTACTTCGTTGTCTTGCTCAAACTCTCTATTGTTTGTTAGAGTTGGCGTATCTTAGGCCTGTTTCAAACGTCGCACTTCTCATGTGCCGAACGTAGTGGAAACAATAGATATTGAAGCATGCATTTCAGCTTATTATCTATTGTTTTTAATGCGTTAAGGCTGCATTCCAGTTACGCGTTTTTCATACGTGCGTACACGCACGTAAAAGTTGAATTCGCTTTACATCCTACTTATGAAATAACTAAATTTATAAAAGGACAACATTCAGTTTTGTGTATGATTTAATGTGTATTTGTTAAGGTTATTTGCACTTATATGAAATTTTAAGCGAATTCAACTTTTACGTGCGTTTACTCACGTATGAAAAACGCGTAACTGGAATGCAGCCTTTAGGCACATGAAAAGCACGACGTTTGAAACAAGCTTTAGTGATTCTATATATAGGCTAATTTAAGTTGTTTTGCGCTTATATATTCGTAACCTTTGTTCGACCTTTTCGACGCGTCAATTAGCAGTCAGTTATAACGCACTTAAAAACATATCGTAAATCATGTAAGCTGATACACACTGGCTAATTGCCTCAAGTTGTTTTAAAATATACTGTCTAACTAAGAGTAGTTGTGATTTTTCTAGATCAATCTAACGTAATTCGAGTATCAGCATTTTAAGAGGGTGTGATTGGGCATATCGTGAGTCGTGATTGCTCAATTTCGGTTACCGTCAGTCGTGAAAACACTAAAAATTTTATCGCGAAGCGTGAGGAAAAAAATGCCGTTTATCGTTTCAGAACACTTTTCAGCAGATTCAAAGATTTACCATTAAAATACCAAAATGTTTACCGTTAAAATACAAACATTTTTTACCGTTTACTGATTTTCAGACAGTCCCCCCCCCCCCGACCCTCTTTTAATATATATCCATTTTCTCAATGTGTTATTGTACATTAATGACCCAGTTTGTATGATCACTTAAGCCGGTTACAGACGAGCAAGTTTTCTGGGACAAGTTTTCTGTCTTTTTGGTTTTCTGACCGCCACGATGGCTATTATTATAGGTATTGCAACAAATAGATCGCTGAACAACCACATGCAAGTCCCATACAGACGAACAAAATTTGTCGACTCTTCCAACTTTTTCTGTGACAAGTGCACTTGTTCAAAAGCTAGCATACCAGCTAGAATACTAGCTCTTGAACAAGTACACATGTCATAGTAAAAATTGGCCAAAGTTGCCTACATGGACGAGCAAATAAAAGGAGCAATTTATTTAAAAAATAAATTAGGATTAATAAGAGGCAACATCCATACCTAAAACTATGTAACCTAAACGGAAACGATAAGCAAAGAAAACAACCGCTTTGCTCTCTGGGCAATATCTGCCAAGCGTCAATGCCAAACTGCCAATATAATCCCATTTTGCTAAGCCGACATTCTTCAGTTATCAGCAAAAGCTAGCCAAATTTTATCTCAGTTCACTCTGGTTTCAACGGTCTTCGAGACAACATAAAAGGAAAATCACACCCACCCAACCCTTTGATGAAGAAGATGATCCAATAAACAGGAACTATATAGAAACTTAATTAAATATAGGAAATCAATTGTAATCATATCTATATTGTTCTGTTTTATCAACTTGTAAATAATTTTATACATTCAAGAAGAAATAAAGAAAGCGGGACGGAAAGTGGTGTCCACACGGCCACAATTCGCCCACGGTGAAGCACACACCGGCAAAAGAGAGCAAGATCCATAACGGCGGGGGCCCTTACCCTCGTCCTGATCTTCGCATCTCTCGCTCACTTCACCACGGGGAAGCCCGGCTCGGACATGAGATTCAATGTCCATAACGGTGAGGGCCCCTTACTCTCACCCTGATGTTGTTTCTCCAGCTTTTCGGGGGGCCCCTTACCCCCAAGAAACCGCACTTTCCGTCACCCAATTTTGCAACAAAGAATTTGCGTGATTTATTAACTTGTCATAGAAAACTAATATTTTTTTATTAAATTCTTTAAAACCTGACTCGTATCCATTTTACGTGGCCGTACATCGACCGCCTTGCAGACCTTGCATAAACCTCGCGCAAGAAGAGGTTGGTCTATATACTTTCGCAGACCATGTATACTCCCACCCCAAATATCAATTTTAGAAATTGCTATGCAATATTTATAAATTATAGAAATCTTTTATTAATTAACAGTGTGAAAAGAGTTTGCGCGCACATATACCCCCTAGCCAATATGTAGATAATGTCGCTCCATGGTTCCTTAACACCGTAGTCATGTTTAGTGACAACTCCCCATGCAAATGATGTTACAAGTAACAGTCTTGAAATTGGTTTGGCAACCGCTGGTTTCGTAAACAATCGCTAAAATATTGTGTTTCTCTATTTAATCGGCCCAGAACAGCCGTTCCGCACGTTGTAACCAATAATCTATTGGCGTTGTAATGCCATTGTATGCAATAAAGTATTGGGTTGTAACGGGTATACGATTAATCCAGACGTTAATCCTAATCCAAACCCTAACCCCCACCTCCTAACCACTAACCCCACCCCCTAACCCTAAAGCCGGTGGCCCGCTACCCCTTCGGGGAATATGCCTTCCCGCCGTCCGCCAAGCTAAGCCAATTACATTTATAACTAAAACTTTTGTCTAATGATTGCGGTTTTGTCTTCAGTTACGACCCAATACTTTATTGCATACAATGGAATTACAACGCCAATAGATTATTGGTTACAACGTGCGGAATGGGTGCCCAGAACCATATGACACATTGAAAGGGCCCAACGCTTTGTTTTTACCTCCCCACCCCATCATCGACAACTATCGGTCGGAACGCTCCCGGGTTTTTTGTTCTTCTTTAGGCAGTGTAGTAGCTATACTGCTCATTTTCCGTTTTATTTCAAAAGAATGTTGAGAATTTTTCACTTTAGCGATCTGCGACACTCATTCCTTTTCAGGCTATTGTATTGATGTAAAATTTACGTACCTTTATCCTTGAGATGTTTTGCAGACTCTTTTAGTTCCTCGGCAGTTTTCTTCAGCTTTTTGAACTTCTTCTTAGAGCTTTTCTCTTCTTTCTTTCCTGAACATAAAATACAAAAATGTTATCATCTCGTATTGATTGCGCATGCATGGCATATGGATCCTTCTTAAGGCAAGGAGGTATAACTGAAGACCCGTTTATATCTACCTAGCTGCGATTTTAAATGCGATTTTCTTCTGATGGATGTGAATGAGTTGTGAAAGTTCAGGTGAGGTACATATACTCAGAATATTCATAACTCCTCTACTCGGTTATACAGTACTGCTCAGAAATAACCTCAGAATAATGCATCAGAATAATGATAGGTGCTTGTTCATTGTTGGTTTTTGCTTGTTCGGAGTTGGTATTTGTTGTTGCTGGGATGCTTAGCCAGATAGTTTAATTTAAATTAACCTTAAATCCCAAAGCGTTGGTGACCTAATTCTGGTTCCAAAACCAAGCGAAGGACTAAAATACATTTGCATTGATTACCGGGCGAAAAATGAGTATATAATCAAACTGTTCAAAACACGGCCACGCTATAGAAACCCAATAAAACAGATAGCCATCATGCATTCCGTTGAGTGCGTTACTCTCGATATGCATTTGTTAAATTGAGACAATAAGACTATGACTGTTTCGAAAAGTTGCTAATTATCAGGTATTCTTCTCGTTAGTGTGAAGTTTCTTCGAAACTTCACAATATTGTGATGGTGGCGAAAAATCACACTTATCAGTCATTCATTCAGTCATTCAGTCAGTCATTCATAGAGTAAACTTTCCGGGGGGTGTATACGATTTATGTTCTCAGTGATTTATTGTACTTAGTACTTTGAAAGTTTTTTTTAGGTAATTGCAGTTGTCTTCTTTAAATATTCTTTATATAGGCCTTTTGCCAGGTTCAAAAAAATTTCGAGGAATCGTTTTCGTTATTGTAATTTTTTGTAAATTGTATAACTTTCACTTCTCGTGTTGTGTAAAGGATATTTACCCCGGAACACCCGATTTTTTCATGCTAGGAAGGGGCGACAGTGTTGTTTCAAATGTATAAAACATTTCAGACGTGAATATTGAGTAAATCTTTGAGAATCTACGCAATATATAAATTGATGTTATGCAAATACGGACATTCAAGCAAGTGCCGATATTATTTAGACGGTATATTCATTAATACAGAGCTAGGAACAGCGCTTTTTTTCAAGTGTATATTAATAAACACTTCGGACGTAAATATTGAGTCGAAAATCTTTGAGATTCTAGTTCAATTGAGTGCCGATATTTATATTTTCACGGTATACTCATTATACAGAGGTAGCACGTAGGAAGGAGCGAGACAGTGTTGTTTTCAAATATATAAACATTTCAGACATGAATATTGAGAAAATCTTTGCCGATTCTACGCAGTATATAATTGATGTTATGCATTACTGGCATTAAGTGCCTATCGATATTATTTAGACTGTGTGTATTGATTATACATTGACTGTATAAGGTGCTACACCACAGATTACAGAATAGATGACTACACTCAATGCAAAGAGCGAAAAATTGCATCAGACATATCAAGCATAAACAACTATTAAACAGAAGCGGGTGTTTATATGGCGTTTTAATACGAAGAAAATAACTTGCTAGACTAAAGAAATCAGTTGAGACAGACTCACAGAGCTCTTTATTTAATGTTATCGCCAATCGCTTGGCTCGCCAACAAGCTTTATGCAATAGAAGAAAAAAGCAAGGAGGTTGCCAACGCGTACCGTATGGACCTTGTTTACTGTCTAGCACAACGGTGCAAACTCAAGAGTGCCAACGATAACTCTACCAGATCTTACGAGAATCAATTTGTACACAGAGATGTGGGTACGTGGATGCAGAGCTGTATCAAAGCTTGTCAAAACTGCTTTAAACACTGTGAAAGTATTGAAATCTAAAGTGACATTGAATATATGCGAAAAGCTGAAAATGACACAACGTGACACTGGGAATATAAAGTCAAAGGTCAATGAGACTTGTTGTCAGTGCTCTCACAATCAAATTTTCAAATTCCTTAGAAAAAGCCCGAAAATTCCTCAGATTTCCTTAAAATTCCTTAAATTGGTAAAATTACTACAAGGCCTGATCACAGAGTTGCAAAAAGTGTTTTTTTTCACCTGATTTACCTGAATTTTTCGAACTGAACGTTCTTTAAAATCATATTTTTTGAAAATTTGAAGGTTCTAGACCGTCGGAAATGGCATTTTTAGAGTCTTTCATACCCAATATTTTAGTATTGCCTAACAATGAAGATAAGTATTGCTACTTTCAGTTTATAATGGGAAATTGAGAAAATTTTGGAAATTTGGAGTCTCCAGATCGTCAGAAAGGGTATTTCGCAATTGTCTCCCTGCCACAACACGTCTCAACGTCTTTAGTTTGTTTGATTGTTAAATCCAATTCAGATTAGAGAGTTCACTTTTTTATGCCCTGAGAATTACCTGAATTTACCTGAAAATCTACAGGATATCTACCTGAAATTGTTCATGAGCAATATTAGGGGTGTTGCACCCTCCCTCCCCCTCCCCCGGTTGCTAGGGCCCTGAGAACTTAGAAAATCTGTAGATTTCAGAAGAAACAGCATACACTGACATTTATCTTTTGAGAATTTTAATGGGAAGACAGCCATATGTACATTTACGACATAGAGAACATACGAATATATGTAATTATGTGCATATAGTGTTGCTACTTTCAGGTTTAAATCTCATTTGCGTGGCGTGGTTATTCTCCGTCAAACGTTTTTAGTCCAGGATAAAATGTTTCGGAAATTCCTTAAAAAAATCCTCAAAAACTTAAATTCCTTAAAAAAATCCTTAAAACTCTTCAAAATTCCTATTTTAAAGGATAATTCCTTAAAAGTGAGAGCACTGCTTGTTGTTGACACTTGTTGTGAAACATGTCACATTTAGGTTAAAATGCGGAAGCGGATGAAGCGGATCAACGGAACGGATATGGGGATAAAATACGGAACGGATGGGAATAAAATGCGTTCGTTTAATGATGCAACGTCGTAGTGCTTATTATTCATAACATATCTTACACAGCTATTCTATTTCAATTAAAGTTGTCACTGAGACAATAGTCAAATGTGCAATATGGGCGCTAAAAGGATGATGGGAATCAGTGGCGTAGCTAGAACGATAATTGGGGGGGGGGGCATATTCATATATTCGTGTTCACATACCATAAAAACAATTGATTTCAAAAGAAATTAATTAAGCAGAACACGAATATATGAATATGCCCCCCCAATTATCGTTCTGGCTACGCCACTGCATGATGGGAATCAGTGGCGTGCTGGGTACTATTTTTCTGGGGGGGCCAGTCGGCTGGCAACCAATATGCGCCCCTATAATATTACGCTTGATAAACGAGGGCCGAAGGCACGAGCCGAGCGCCACAGGTGCGAGGTTTGTCTAGGGGAGTCCGGGGGCATGCTCCCCAGGAAAATTTTAGAATTTAGAGTCTCTGAAAAGCCATTTCCTGGACTTTGGGGGAAGATTTGACAGAAATCTGATGGTCAGGAAACGGCATTACAACGTGTCGAAATTTGCAAATTGGTTAGAATTTAGTAGTAGGACTTAAATTGTTCAATGCTAACTACTTCCAGCAATTAATCCAATCCCAATTCTATTCTCTACTGATCTGAATACATTGACAACTTGCAGCTCTTTTATGCAATAACACACAGACCCCACGCATATGCATTTTAAGGTTTTCTTGCCTGTCTGCCAAAAGGGCGCGTTTCAGCATTATATCTCGTTACTTACATTACTCATGATGTTTCTTGCGCAAACAACTAAATTGCGTACACAACTTTACATTATCATAACTTCAACTATCTAATTTGCGTCGCTCTCGTGATTCGTGAAGCATAATAAAGGGCATAATATAAGAGTATAATACCAGCAAAAAAGGGCATAATTCCCGTGATCGCTTATTCGCTTCGAAGCCTGATCAATATTCCGGTAATGAGACATTGCGTGTGATCACTAATCATGCTTCTATATGAACGAGTGATTTCGTGTGAATCGCGAGGTAGCAAATACGGTTGGACAAAACAGTCTGCAATTTAATATACTCACTTTGTCGTCTATACGCTTAGTCTGTTTATAAGTCTTACACATCTTTCCTTGGCGGAATTAGTAACTATATTTTTTCGAATGCGTTTCTTCCTACCCACTTTCAAAATTCGGCGCGGGATAGGCGCCCCCTTTTCGTTTTTGCGCCCCCAAAAATTGCCAGCTGGGGGGGGCCGTGGCCCCCCGGCCCCCCCTGCCAGCACGCCACTGATGGGAATAATCATAGTTTTAAATACGTTTAGCATATCAGTAGCTTCGTGGGGATGCTTTTGCAAATGCAAATGAAGTTTTAGAATATGCAAAATTCGGTTGTTGCTGAAACAATTTAAAGTTGTCGCGTGTAGCATCACAATCAATAAATAAATTGTATCAGTTCCACAAGGCACAAGGTTTCTGATGTGTTAGGCTTGTTTCAAACGTCGCGCTACGCATGTACCGAACGCATTAAAAACAATAGATAGTGAGATGAAATGCCTATGGTAACTGTTTATTTCGTAGTGTAAGTGTCGGCGACCCTAATATAAGCAGTGTCTTTTTCAATTTGAAACTTCGCACTATCCTTGGATCCCTAGTTTTACTTTTGTAACGTGAGCACAATAAGGCGGGCATGTAGTTCATGAGTTTTACCCTGGTTCTTTTTTGTTAACAGAACGAATATTGATACATCAATTGTATAACTGTTGTTTTGCCGCAGTATACACGCAATGTATTTGATTTCAAATCGAAAATGAGAATTGAAAATCCGAGTAGAAACCGAGAACTGGAGGCTAATGCGAGTACGTAAAAATTATGTACGACTAGAAGTTACCATCGCAAGGAAAGTGCTGCCTCACCCCCCAAGGAATCAAAGGCAGCATGAACAATTTGCTGAATAAAGGGTTGTTTATATGATCCCGCTTTGCCATTACTCTCATGATGTTTTTATATCATTATGTCAAACTAAAACCACCCCTAAATACATAAAGAATACATAAAGGAAACTAAGTAAGTTATACCTTATAATTTAAAGTAAATTTTTAATGCATAATATAAAAAATTGAAAAAATAAATAAATACCCACACAGAGCCTGGACCACCTGAGGCCGATTGTATAAAACTCTTAATCACTTTTTAAATCACTATTTTGTAGTCAAATAGTGATTAACTCTCAAATAGGCGCTTCTTATTGGATGACGTTTCCACTTAACTATAGTTAACTTTAATCACTTTTTTATACAACCGGCCCCTGTGGTTTTATATGAATACCTTCAATGTTTGTAACATCTTGCTTTGCATATGTAATATATATAATAGTATAATTAGTGGTGAAGCTAGCCATAGCAACCAGAGTAACAGGTCATGCTATGCAAGTTTTTAATGATTTGTGTCATTAAAACAAATAGATACAGGTCTATCAGCATAGCATGACCAGTTGCCATGACTAGCTTGTCACTGAATACTGTACAATATCTTATATTTATATACATAAACGATAATAATACTTGAATGAATCATTGGACACGTAGAATTTAATAACAATTTCATGAATAGAAATACTATAATACAAAACTACCCCTGTCGCAGAACAACTGACATTTTTGTTTAATTCAATACATCAGCTTCAGATGACACCATTCATTTGTAATGATTAAGATTGTAATCAGTCAGAACTTCAAAACTATATAATAAGAAAGAAATTGATGAACCAGGCGGGAATCGTTATCGTAGTATAAAGATTAATGCCGAGCATAACGTACGCAAAAGAGCCATATAGACAATAATATAGAAATAAAATTTATTTAGAAGTACTAACGTTTCGTCTTTAACCTAAGACATCTTCAGAGTAAATGAATATAGTATGACAATAAGTTACAAATATGAATAAATTACTATTTACAATATCAAATTACAGAGTAATAGGAATGGGGGAGTGAGAGAGGAATGGAGCTACCTTGCTGATTCAAAGTAGGTTTGAGCCTTGAGATGAGAAGACTTTCACGAACGAGAAGTTCATCTGGAGAGGAACAGGATGATAGGATCTTAAAATCATCAAGAGAAGCAGTATGATCTGAGTGGCTCAGATGGGAAAAGATGCTCGTAAGTTGAGGACTGCTACTCGTCTTACCAGTTAAGGCAGAAATACCCAGGTGTTCAGAGGCTCGCGTGTATGTAGATGGCGGACCGTTTGGCCCACATACGACGCAGAACAGCATCGACACTTAAAAGAATAAACTACACAAGACCTCAAAGCATCAAATGATGTCTAAATCGACCCGGTCGATGTCTCGACCCGGTCCATGCCTCAATCGACCCGGTCCATGCCTCAATCGACCCATCAAATGATGCCTCAATCGATGCCTCAAAGCATCAAATGATGCCTCAATCGACCCGCAAATAATGATGCGTCAATCGACCCGGACAAGGTTGTGTTCAATTTCTCAAAGCGCTTAATCTCGGACAAAGAGAAGGAAATCCTCTCGAAAGGTCTCAACTTTGCCATTCCACCCAACAAGTTAGATCGCTGTGCCTTCCTTGCCCCGTTTGAAATGTTACACAGGAAGTTAAGGACGAACAAATTTCTTCATCCTCAGGATATTATCCAACCCTGGTCAAAACCAAGTTGAAAGATATCGCGCTCTCTGGCAACCGCAGTTACAGCCGACCCGATTTCTTGTTTTCTAAGGACGATTTGAAAACATTCGACGATTTAAAGAAGAACAAAAACATCGACATCGTGAAGCCAGATAAAGGAAATGGAGTTGTCATTCTCGACCGTGGCGATTACAACCGGAAAATGGAAGATATTTTGCGTGACACTACCAAATTTGAACGCCTTGATGTTGATCCTGTCAAATTAACATTGCAGCGTGAAAACCATGCAAATTAAGAACCTTCTAGCCTCATTGAAGAAATCTGAATCGATCACGCAGGCAACCTATAAACAACTCTATCCTACTGGCTCTCGCATTGGTATCTTCTGTTTATCGTAAACCTACAACGAGTCTCTGAACACCTAGGTATTTCTGCCTTAACTGGTAAGACGTGTAGCAGTCCTCAACTTACGAGCATCTTTTGCCATCTGAGCCACTCAGGTCATACTGCTTCTCTTGATGATTTTCAGATCCTATCATCCTGTTCCTCTCCAGATGAACTTCTCGTCCGTGAAAGTCTCATCTCAAGGCTCAAACCTACTTTGAATCAGCAAGGTAGCTCCATTCCTCACCCCCCCCCCCCCTTTTTATTCATATTTGTAACTTATTGTCATACTATATTCATTTACTCTGAAGATGTCTTAGGTTAAAGACGAAACATTAGTACTTCTAAATAAATTTTATGTCTATATTATTGTCTATATGGCTCTTTTGCGGACGTTATGCTGGGCATTAATCTTTATACGCATTCTGTGTTCTAAATATAAATGCCTTCATGGTATGTTGCCAAAAATAAATAAAGCTATTCACTTACCTGAATTATTTAAAATATTGTCCATGTTTTGCATCATGAAAATGTAAATATCTCAGCTCGTAAAAATAAAGTTTGACCGCCCCCCTCGTTTAAAAAAACTTCCTGAAGCCTTAATTATTTCCCCGGAATTACGCCATCTTTACAGACAGACAGACAGACAGACAGACAGACAGACAGACAGACAGACAGACAGACAGACAGACAGACAGACAGACAGACAGACAGACAGACAGACAGCAGACAGACAGACAGACAGACAGACTCAAAATCGAGATCTCGACAATACATAACTCGGGCAAAGAGACTGGACACAAGTAAACGCGATACTTCATGTTAAGAGTAGTGTGCTGCCTTCGGCAGCAAATATGATATTAATTTTGATCCAGTTGTGGGAATGGATTTTCATTTGAGAGAACATGTCGTCAAAGCAAGCGCCTCTCATCTCTGAGATCGTGCGTTCAATTCTCGCTTCGTAAACACGCGAACGCTCTGCCGAAAGTCGTGAATTTTCTCCGCGTGAACTCCCGTGTACTCCAACAGGGAAAGCGGACAGGGTTAGGTTAAACATAGTAAGGAAAATAAAGTAATATCGCAGCTGTTGTAAAGAGAAATAGTCCATAGGCTAAGTAGGTGTTAGAAGAAGGCTTAATGCTTGATGTAATCGGCCACTGCATAAGCGTGCGGACTAGCCCCCCCCCCTTCCCTCCAGAAAAAATGAAGTTGGGCAAATAATATTGGACATTTAACAGGGAAAGTCGGGAAAAATGGAAAAATGTTGAACAATATTCTTTCTGCCCCTAATTTTTTTTCGCCCGGTAGACCTATGGGTCACTAAAGAGAACCGACTGATGAGAGTGAGCTCATTAATGTATGTACGTATGTATCTAGGAATAGCGTGTGAGCACTTATGTGAGAACAGCGTGTGAAGCACGTGCATATTCACTCTTAGTTCTGGATAATTTTAAAATATATTCATTGTTTCTTGTTAGCTCACCTGAATCTTCACTGCTTTTCTCATCATCGTCTTTCAGTTGACTATCCTCGTTGGCTTCTTCATTTTTATCCTCTGCTTTTTTATCCTCTGCTTTTTTATCCTCTGCTTTTTTATCCTCTGCTTTTTTATCCTCTGCTTTTTTACTTTCTGCTTTTTTATCTTCTGCTTTTTTATCCGCCTTTTCATCTTCGTCGTCTTTATCAACTTGAATATCTTTCTGAATTTTCGCGGTTCCTGCTTTCTTTGAATTGTCAGCTTCTTGTGCATTTTTATCAGCTTCATTTGATTTTGTTTGACTTTTGTCATTATTTTTGGTCGCCAATTCAACATTGATATCTTAGGCATACATCACCTGCTTTCTTTTCTTTTGCTTTTGGCTTCGATACGTCTAACAAAGCCAGTCCAATTGCACTAGCAGCTTTATCATGTTGTTTTTGATGGGAGACAACAGGTTCTGATGGTTGAACATCACCATTGGCATTTTCTGGTGACTGTTTAGTTTCTGTACGAAATGTATTTATAAAAACATGATATCAATAGTGAATTATAATTGATATTCCATTCTTTGTTGTCCAGAATGATGTTAGAATATTATGACATTCAAATAATTGTAATGCTACTTCTAGTTTTCGTTATTGGTTTTTAGTTATGATGTTAACGCCCTGTTGTATTACAGGCGTTTAAACCTGACACTAGCAATTTTCTTGACAATTTTCTACATGTGGATGTGATTGAATGAGTGTATACACTTCCGAAAAGCCGTTCTATCGCCATTCTTCTGTTTGCTAGTTCACCTATTCGAATCCGTCAGGAAGAGAAAACTGTCGACGAAATCACTAGATGTGGCACGTGTGAACCATGCAAGTTATATGGGTCAGAGTTTACCTAGGATGATGTGTTTTGTGATGTTGGTTTACCTAACTTGGTTTATTGTGATTGACGTTAATTTCGTCTTTTCCACATATGCACATTTTACATTCTTTCAAATAAAACAGATGTTGCATACAAAAAAGAAAAACATAACTTACGCGATAGTTTTTGCTTTTTGTATTGGTCGAATTTTTCCTTCAATGCTTAAAAAGAACATAAATTTATTATCTCATCTATTTAGACAAGAAACACTGTACTGGATCTATAAAATATGAGGAAGGAGAATAGTAAGAATTTAACATGAGCATTTCTTTCCAACCTTTAATGAGGGCATCCTTATCTCTTTTCAAAGAAGATTCAGCGACCACCACCGTGACTACTCCGAGCAAAATGATTACAATGAATTTGTTCATCGTAATCCTACACAACAAATTAAAAAAAACGAAATGATTATATTTGATGGCATGCAGTTCATATAGGCGGTGGGAAAAGCTTAGAGGCTGGGGGGGGACAAACTTTTGCACGAAATGAATAGCATAATTGTCCGATATTATTATGGATTTGTTGATAGATGAATAGAAAGTAAGTATAGAAGCAACACATCTCCTAATAAATTCATCCCAGAACGATAAATACAAAGTGTCAAACTATTTACGAGTATTTCTGGGACTTCATTCTTTACGAAATATCTTTATGATAAAACTCCTTACTCCATTAGATGCAATTCGAATTCAATGAAACAAATCTAAATCTGTTATTTAGTTTCTCTAAATAAATAATAAGAAACAGAAAACTAGTCGCGTACGTTTATCGGTGCGACAATGCACGAGCGGATGTTGAGAGAATACGAAAGAAGGCTCAAAACTGCATCGTCCATGCAGTCACATCAAACCATCAGAACCGATGTAGGAGTGGGCGACTACGCATCCAGCCTACTGCTGAAATGTCATTTCTGCAGTAGCTGAAATGTCATTTCTGCAGTAATATATATATATATATATATATATATATTATATATATATATATATATATATATATATATATATATATATATATAAATATATATATATATATATTAAGTTTGATTTCAACTTGCAATAAAAATTTCGCTGTCGAAACTTTTCGCTCAATTTTTTTTAATTCTGAGAAGATTTTTTAGATGGTCACAATTCAAAAGAAATCAGACGAAATATTTCTCTATAAGTGGAAACCACCTTAAAGTAATCTACACTTACGAACAATTTCATTTCTTACCTCCTCCATTTCTTACCAATTTTGTTGTAGAATTTTTGTTAATTTCAAGCTTTTTGATTCACACATAGTTAAAATCACAATGCTTAAAAACGTACATGCACACTGCCACGTAAATTTAGATTTGTGTTTTCCCGGATAATCCCTTTCAACGATGAAGATATTTTTATGTATGATAGTAACAAAATGATAACCCATGTACTACATGTACTAAGCTTAGTACACATAAATTGCTTAAAAAGCTCTATCCATTTCCCAGGTAAATGTTAATGTTATAGTAAGTACGCGCCCCTAGGCTGTGCGATTCGTGTAACAATATCTGCATGCCTTTAATGTATATAGTTGTGTGAAGTCATGATTAAAGCTCGACAGCACTTTGGATATCAATATCTCTCAATTGACTTTTGTTGCAGTTGATCGCGTAACATTACTGAATGTGCCAGAAGTTATGATCGTTTCATGTATTTCCCAACCTCCATTTGCTTTCACACAGCACATGAAGTATAAATTTGTGAAATAATTTATAGAATTAATAAACGTGGTTATTTCTGACGATGCGATCAATTGAGACAAATTACCATACACTGGACAGAATAGCTTCATGCATATAGCTACTGTACCTATAATATACCTCGCATGAGAAACAAGAAACATTAGCTAGTAAGATATTTAGAATTTGTTTTAAATATGTGTATTATCAGTATAAACAGAAATAGAAATAGAACAAACGTGAATATGAATATTTACGAGTTGAATATAAAATTGAGAATAAGTAGAGTAGTATACGCAGTGCCAACGAACTAACGATATCTGATATTTACATTTCGGAATTTGGTTAGTGATTATATTGTTGTTTAGCCTGTGTTAGCAGGCCTCGGCTTGTGTACTACGTCAATAAATTTTGAGACGAATTCCATATTTCCATGGAGTTCATTGCATTGGATTACAGTTGTAAGACTCTTTTAATAATAATCACACGTCAGTCGCACATGAGTAACAATGAACTTACCGACCACCATAGCCACCTTTAAGAAAATATCTTGAAAAATATATTATAACTTACACACAAGCCTTGAGATTTTTCTTTGTTCTCTTGAAGAATTTTGCTGTTGTTTCTTAATCAATATTCCAATATATCGCAATTACATCTAGCAAGTACTTATTACGGAACAAAGAACATATTGTGAAGATCTGAGTGTTACCAGCTAACACAAACCGGTAGTTAATCTTTTAATCTGATAACCTGTAAATCAATAATGATGTGCCTTTCTTTGCTTGTTTACAAATAATAAACTTTGGGATATATTTTGTACAATGCTGTTGTTATGTTAGTTTATTAAACCAGGAAACAATGAATATATTGCGCAGCATCATAATATTCCGGAGCGAGGAAGACATAAAAGGGTGAAATGCATACACATGTAAACAGGATATACGATATAGATCGCCGGCCGACATAGATTCTATGCACAACCGTCGAATTGTATGGCAAATGCAAAATAACCGCGCTAAATCATCTAGCTCAACCGGTTTACTTTTAGGAAAGAGCTAGGATTTTGGACTTGAGCAAACCATGGATACAAGGATTTCATGTTATAAGACTTACTGCAACTAGCCTGAAACCATGAGTGTAGTAGACTTGTTGACATTTCATTGATTTCTAACGATAACAACATTAGAAATCACGACATTACTACTTTGATCCTACCATGCATGTTACGTGGCTCTAACATGAAATAGCTTTCGCTATATCGAGAGGTTTTAGTTTCAAATTAAAACTTTATTTTTTTCATTTGGACAACATAATTGAAGAATTGCCTTGGAACCAAACATATATACTGGAACTTCCCATTTTTATCATGTTGTCATTCACACATTAATATTAGCATAATATTTCATAAATAGCAGGTAGAATATGTACTGTATAGTATAGTATAGAACAATTTTTGCTTAATTTAATCTCTATCTTATCACACACCCCTTTTGACAGTCTCCCATTGTTAGCGTGCCAGGACCACACCATAGCCTAAAAACCATAAACCGATTGTTCCTTGAGGTAAACTGCTCCATGCTGTCTCTTCGCGTGCCAAGCTACATCTTTGGTTTATTACTTTATTGCATATGAAATGTTTCTCGCACTGCATCAATCTGAGTAAAAGAGCCAAATGTCTGCGGGGAGTATTGTGATATTTCTGATCATTAAGCAGCTCAGCAGGTAAACGAGATAAATTTTTCTGTCACATTACGGCCCGACGTTTTGGTAATATTTTCAGGTAGTTTGATTTCAGTTATCCCTCAAATATATCATATAGTTATAGCATTTATCAGTAATTCAGTATTCATATATATGATATTTTTTTCATAAAATCACTGTTTTGCGCTTATGGCCATTTCTAGCTAAACATTCTGATTTCATTTGTCTTGTCGAAAGAATTAGCTTCCAACCAATATAAACTCTTGCTGCTGCAAACTCTTGATATTGCATGAAACATAAATTTGGTAATGTTGCAGAGACTACAGTAATATGTGTTGAAATGGAGAGTTTGAGCAAGACAACGAAGTACGAAGACGAAGGCATATTTGACAATTTTTGCCGTCTGCACATTATCTTGCGCATACTGAGTTGGACGTCACTGTGGTTGCTCAACTGTCTTCCCATGTGTCGTGTTTATGAATACATCTAAATCATGTTATCAGCAAATACATTAGTATCAGAATCTTTACTTGACTTTAAAATACTCATTAATAATTCATGAAGAAAATTCAAAAGAAACGAATGTTTAATCAATGTTTGTTAAATCAGATAAAGATTTGTCCTGATTTACATAAACTTCAGCTTTCATTTTCTCGGCTTAGAAAATGTTACTTCGCGAATGAACTCATAAGATTTGTCATTCGCATCCGATCTTTATCTGATACACAAACTCTTGCCTTCGGCTCGAGTTTGTATATCAGATAAAGATCGGCTGCTCATGTTTTAACTAGTACATAAACGCCATGTTAATTTGTCTTAATTAAATCATGGATAATAAAATAAATGGATAGAACTCTAGCTGACGTAAGCAAAAAAAACCTAGTTGCAATATGTGACGTCACGCGTATTGCAAAGTTCTCGGCATTTTTGTTGTTTCGCTATATTTTCCGCTTTAAAAGAGTAATATTGAAGCATAAATTGGTCTAATTGTTTTAAAAACATGCCTAAGCCACGACAAAGTATTCAAGGTAAATGTTTTTCGTCCTTGTTTTGTATTTTTTTACATTTGTAGCTACGAAATTGGCGTCCCCAATTTTAACGAAATTTGCGATGTATTTTTCACTGTTTAGTGCTTGAAATATTTGCTAAAATTGACTGGGAATACTTAGAGATTTCATCGTAGAATGGCGTTGTCATATTCATTTGCTCTTTGACTAAAATGTTTAGCTGTATTATTGCTAAACATGCCGTTTTTGAGAATTTGGTTTGCAACTAGGTTTCAACATCCAACCACGCCATCAGCCCATTGAAAACATTAGATCACGTCAGCTAGTTTCCTATCCATTTATTTTATTATCCATGATTAAATCAACGACGCATGCGAAAAATATATTCAATCAAAACAAATACTCGTTTATAGGCCTAGTAGTTTTGGCCGGCAAATGTATTGTCTTTTCACAATAAATGCTGCATCGCAGGTGAAAAATGTCAGCACGCCTATTTACTTTCGAAAGTTTTCAATATTTTAGTCCTCCAGAAATAAAAATGTCAATGCACAGCTCTTTGTACCAAAATAATCGTCCGTACATTAAATAGTTATGCTAAATAATATTGACCAATGAAGTTGCTGACCATCCAAATGTTTAGTTTAACAACCGTTTACCCTAATAAATCTCTAATTAAATAATATAGGCTACACTTAATGTCTGCTCCCGAGGGAAATGGTTAGTTTTGTTTTGTTTTGTTTTGTTTTCCCGAGAATCTCAATATTTCAATAAGACGAAGTCGAGGGAAACATTGAGATTCGAGGGAAAACAAAACTATTTCCCGAGGGAACAGACATTAAGTGTTTTGTTATATAGCGACGAACAAAAATCAACATTCAATAACATTCACATGCACAACAATTGTATTTCGTGACAAAAATTCTTTTGAGTAAACGAGTTTAAAATTAAAAGAACCTACTTAAACGGTTTCGGAAACGGTTTCCTGTTTCCTGTTTGTGTATTTTTCTTCTCTTTTACATTCTTTATTTGAACACAAACTTGGAAAATCGTAGTTTCTACTTGTGCTAGTTGTGCCGCCATTTTGTTTATTTGTGTACGTAGCCGGTCGGGGCGGGCAACAATTTTTCACTTGTTGCCCGGCGGGAAACATTGCATTTATCTGAAGTCATGTGACCACAAATCAGCCAATCACGTTTGGTGTTCACGCTAGCTATATAACAAGAGTGTATATAATACACGTCGAATACAAATTCTGATTTGACCAGAGCGTTTATTAGAAATATGCATGGCATTTCGTGGATCATTTATGGTATACACAAAATGCCCCAATATGACAATATCCTCGATTAGTCATCATTAGTCATCAAGTTATTATGATGGTTTGTATATGGCGTTAGACAATGTACATAACATTTAGGCAACATAGTTACTCAGGGTGTCACTTTGATGCATACAACCGTTTGGATGCACGATACAATTGTTGGAAAATATTTGTGATGGCAAACACAAGAAATTTAAATCAGTATACAGGGTGTATCATAAAAAACGGAGTCCTCGCTTCAAATATAACTATCGAAACGAATATTAAAGCAGAACGTTCAGGTTTACATTCATTTTAAAGCTTAGACATTCAGCTTTTCAACGGTGGGTTGTTTCGTAAATATAATCCAGAAGTTCGTGAATAATAATATTTTAAGTGATGGCGATTGGAGAGTCAAAAATTTGAGATGCAATAACAAACCGGTACTTGATGAAAATAACTTATTTTGTCAACAAAACGAGCAAATTGAGGCATTTTGGCAATTACTTGTAAAAATCAAGTAATAATGGCTTCCAATACACTATTTTAAATTCACTTGCTGACTTCAAATGCGTTATAATACCGGCTGAAGCGTGTTTTAGCTTGCCGTCAACTTGCTAATTTATATTTACATTACGGCCCGATTCGATGGTGCTCGTTCGGACGATGAATGGACGTAAGGTTGTTTTGATGATTTCTGGAAATAATTTAGGATTTTGAAATAAATAAAACAACCTAATCTCTTTTAGAATGTTTTTAACAAGTTCTTACTAGTTTTTCCGATGTGGCAACCAGAACATTAAAGTTTGAACAAGAAAATTCAAACATTGCAACCGACTATGGAATAACACAGTAAATTTGTACAATTAAGCGGCATCTAAACTTCTCAAATTCATTAATAATTCATGAGTAATTCAGCCAATGATAATCACCTATTTGATCACAAGATGCCATTTGGATACCTGATGAAAGTCACTAGTGTTTTCATCAAATATCTTAATTACGCATGCAAAATTACTTGAATAGAATTCCTAATGACGTTATGCTTGGTTAAGAATTCTATTCAAATCAGCAAACGAAAACATTCTGTTGCGTCTCGATTCATTTGAGAAGCCATATAAACAACTCGAGCTCGTGTCTCACCGGGATATCCAAACACTCGAAAACAATGTATGAAAACACTCGCGCTTCGCGCTCGTGTTCTCATACATTGTTTTCTCGTGTTTGGATATCCCGGTGAAACACTCGCTCTAGTTGTTCATATATTACATGATAGGTTTCACTAAATTTTCTCCTGTACAGTTATTACTTGCACTAAGGACACGGATGACCATTTGTTCGAAAGATAAATGAACAGGCTTTAAACTAAGCCTAAAACCGTTTTATTAGAAGTAGCAGTCCGAAAGTTATTAAGCACAAAATTTGGACTCCGTTTTTTTTTATAAACCCTGTAGTGTTGTTACTGGTATTGACATTAACTTTGATAAGTTAAAATGGTACAGGAGGGACCGGCATGATAGATACAGCACAAGACTAACAAAACATAATAATATTTTTTAGAAGAATTACTCAAGGTTTTGACGTTCATGGGCTTCATGCGTGCATATGCCAATGTAATGCAGTCTGGCATTATTGTACAATGGAAATACAGTTATTCTTTTATTATCTCAATTTTGTATTCATGATGGTATTCTACGTAATGAGCACAGTATTGATTCTTTACTTCTCTGTTTTAATATGCTAAAACTGTCATTTTATAGCCTCACTTGTAATGCACGAAATCGTGTTTCAGACACCCATGCAAGAACAGAAAATTTTCAGGTGGTTCATGTCTCGAGAGCCCTCCTTGCTAAAAATCTACGATTGATGTTACCATATCATATCTGTTATTTTCCAAATTTAAATGTTAGATTGTACCCTATAGGTCCTTTAAATATGTTTTCCCAACAATTAGAACGAGTTTACATTAATTAATTTCCCAATAATTAAACGTGTACACGTTTGCTAAATTCCACAGTTACTCTCAATACTTGGAAACGAGTCTCAACTATAAAACTGCCCTGCCAATTAATTACTTACATCAGGGCATAATCCAGGACATGTGCGTTTTGCTTTAACTTTTGCTACAGCTTTCACTTTATGTTCATCACTCTTCATGATAAGTTTATGTTGGCTTGTTTTCTTTGTACAACATTCATCAGGACAGGCAGGCAGACAAGTTTTGCGACACAATGGGTGACACTTCTCTTTCAATCTGTCTTTATGACTGCAGCAGCTCAGCGGACAGGACGATAAACAATTTTTCTTGCAAAGTGGATGACAGTGAGATTTACGCACAGGGGCCTTGTGTTTCAGCATGCCTTTGGACACGAGGGAACGCAGTTTTTCTTGCACATCGGATGACAGCCTGGGTTGATATGATGAACGTGAGGGTGTTTCCATGTTTTCGAGACCTTCTCTGTTTCTGCACAGCAAGTGAGGGGACAAGAGGAGATGCAGTGTTTCTTGCAGAGTGGATGGCAATGGCTTGATTTTCGGTGGTACAGTGGGAAATTTTGATGGTGTTCACCAGCACAACATCCAGGAGCACACGACGAAATGCACGTCTTCTTGCACATTGGGTGACAAATGTGCTTCAAATACTCTTCTAAAGAAGTGAGAATACTTGTATTGAAATACAAAAAATACAAAGCCAGGGTAAATCGGGTGATTCTGGCATATTTATCACATCATGAAATGTGTTAAACTCATGTTATGTATTAAAGTTATCCAAATTCAGGCAAACTTTTGTGTGACTCTGTGTGTGACTATATTTAAAGGAAACATGCATGGTGTAAGCAAGTTCCATGCATGCAAAGTGTTCAATTCCAGTCTTTGAAGGGGCAATCTTACAGGTAATCAGGAAAGTCAAAATGCTGATATTAAATATTCACTGTGGGTCTTTATCAAGCGCAGCTTTTCAGGTCAAGATAAAATTGGATAAGACAGCATGATAATTTTACAATAAACCCCTATGTTTACCAGATTTAGTTTCTTTTGTATGATGAGGAACAACCGTATGCGAGGGTCCATCTTTGTATACAGTGTAATCCACCTTCTCCTCTTTGTTTTCTTTTATTTTCCAGTAGTTATCATGATGAAGATCTTTCTTTGGTTCCACCTTTTTGGGCTCATCGTTCTGCTTCTTTAATTTAATTTTATGAGGAGCTGGCTTTTTCTTCTCTGGTATTTTTATAAGCTTTAGGACTCCTGGTCTGACTTTCTCGAGCTTCAAAGATTGCCAGTTGTTTTCCAAAACCATGCACTCAACAAAAACGTAAGGTTTAAAACGCAATCTGAATTCCTCGGTTGTAATGGACGTCCCACGCCCGTCCTCTAAAACTTGAATTTTTTGCCTGATCGTAGTCTTTAACGCATCATTTATCACACGCACTATGATGACTTTATTATAATTGATTTAATCTTTGTGCATGAATGATTTCTTACATTGTCTTTACAAAAAAATCCGGGATATTAAATTGCCGTTTTATTCCAGAATTATACTCGCTGTGTTTTTTCAGAATTACATACGCTGTTTTTATCTTAATCTTAACATAAATGTTAATATAATACTAGAAGTTACTATTGCAAAGAAGTGCCGCTGTTCGACCAAAGCCTTGTGAATTTGACTTATTTTAATTGCTAAAGACACGCTTACATATTAAAATTACAACATATAATCGCTATATATAAGTGTCAATATTTTAAATTGATACTACATTAATACATGAATGACATACTAATTAGGAAGAACAAAACATATGTCTTTTAAGAACTTTATGATGCGATAACGTTGTTGCCTCTGTCCACAGATTGTCTCCAAGTATAAACAATAATCTGTACTATATGTTCCACTAGGTGAACACAAGTGTGGATATTGTTTTATTTGATGTTTATCATATTCATTTAGCTTTAGTGTCCATTGTTGACTATATATTACCATAACTGTTCACTGAATTGTCACGAAACTAATTGTATAAAGTGAACCAACGCATGACATCATTTTCGAAACCAACTGTGAATTTCAACATGTAAAGTGACCTTGACGTCCTTGCGGTAAGTTGGAAAATCATGCAGTTTAATGCATAGCAGATCCATCCCATTACATACGGTCCGTGTATTATTTTGAACAACCAGTTTGTTGATGTAAGAATTATATATTTCTGCTTAATACAGCAGATTCATTCCATCACATACGTTATATAACAACCATCTTTTTATGCAACCATCTGTTGAAGTACATGTCGGAATACTACTTCTGTTTAACTCGGGGCCTCGACGGTTTGCATACCACTTAGCCTTAGGTTAAGATCTCAATAATCCCCGAGTGAACGGCGCGGAGCGCCGTTCCGGGCGTAAGCCCAGGGCGGGGGTACTAATTCCGCCCGGCTATTTACACCCGGGGAAACGAAAGCATTCCCGAAGTCTAAAGTTCATCAATGATCGCGGGCGTGGGTTACCGTGAGTGGTTCGGTGAGTGGTCATATCACTGATCTCAAAATATGGCTGTTTGCCAGGAGTGAAGAGGCAACAAATATAAAAAATGCATGTCGAAAAGCTTGGAAAATCGTTTCACATAACAAATTGTAAAACTTTTTTGACCTGCGTTCAGTGTTGGCGTAATTATGAATACTTCATGTTGAAACAATGTTTGGAAAATATAGGCGGGGGGTTGTTGCATGCATGTATTTCTTGTTGTATATAAGTTTTCGTTCGAATAAAATGCCATCTAGCATGCATGCATGCATGCATGCAAAACGTTCGTTCTTGAGTCATAAGTTAAAACAATATAGATCACAAGCATAGGCCAGAACAGCAAGCACCAATGTCCATTTATTATTGTGGTGTTTTAAAAATTAAAAGATGCATAATTTCCAATAGCATCTTTACATCAATATTAAGCAAGGCAAATTAAAGTGGCACCCTCGTCAAAATTTTTATTTCCTTAAACGAAAATGTACTATTTGACAAATTTAATTTTACGTAAGATGAGCTTTTAATTTTTACCGTCACACAATTCACCAAATAGGGAATATTCGGGCAATTTTTGGTTCACCATCGAGCGAAAAAAAATTTGACGGGGGGGGGGAGGGGTCACAAGACGTCTGGCAAAAAGGGACCGTCTCCCAGGACGGCGGCAAAAGCCACCGCGCCCCCCTAAAATGTTGTCGCTCGTCCGCGTATGAATTTGCATACGTTATCATACATAAGGTATCACTTTAGTAGAATACTTAGGCGTAAGGAAGACAGACTAATTTACCCCATCAGCCTATCCCTAACACATGCATGACCATGCATGCCTTTTCTGTCAATACTTATGCTCGATATGGTTTTTGAAAAATGGAGATTCGTATTTTTTGGGAATTATTATTTGTTGAAAAACAAAAGTATCTTACAGATGTAAAGCAACATCTAAAAGGTTTGAATTTTTTCACGAAAGTTACGCAACTGCCGTTGCTATGGAAACAATGACGTTTCAAAATGGCGGAAATTTTGGCAGTAAAAAATATAACTCGTAAACGACATCGGCGACCCCAAAATTTTATTTCATAAAATCATTTCTTTTAATCTTATTGATTGGCAAAACTATGATCTTATTGATTGACAAAAAGTATCTTGTTTAGATACGCTCAATTATTTTACAATTGATGCAAAACAACATTTAAGGCTTCTAAAGCCAAAATTTCCGCCATTTTGAAACGTCATTGTTGCCATAGCAACGGCCGTTGCGTAAGTTTCGTGAAAATATTCTAACTCAAGCTATTTATTGCACTTTGGGCTTCTCTCCACTTGCTTGCTAGAAAGGTAAAATTATGAGCAAAAATCATATGTATATACCAAGATTCAAATTTTAGGTATATTCTTGCTCCTCATTTGATTAGAGCTTACAACTATGTAACACATATGGTACCGGGAATAAGAAATGCAGTGGAAATAACTTAAATTATATTGGGTTTTTTTATATGAAGATTATTATTTGTTGTATTTGTTAAAGAATTTTGTTTTAAACAATTTGTAACAAATTGTGCATTGATATCGGCTACTACACATTATTCGATAGTTTTGGCCCATTGATCTATATATAGATTTCTGTTTCATTCATAAGATTTTACTAAGTATAACGGTATAAACAAATATTCGCACCCATACTCTTGTTCTAATCTGGACCTGGTATAACACTAGCTATATGCCTTTTTACTCGCTTTGATTGCAAGCAGGTCTGAATTTATCATAATAAAACAGCTTTGCCTAGCAGGAATGAAGAATACATAGATACAAAGAACCATATTAAAGTAAAATGGTACAAAGTGGTTGAACCGTTTGGCAAACCTTAAATAATCTATATATAGTTGTACGTTTTCGTGCTTAAATTTGTAAAATAATTACAATATCTACCATGTATATCGAGACGTTTTTGTCCATTCTTCGTATTGTCTTTCTTTTCTTTCAGTTGGACATTTGTGAGCGCTGAACAGGTAAATACCAATAGTAGTATTGAAAACAAATGTGTTATTGGAGCCATTGTCATTTCCTACAAAACAATTTTAACTAAATAGTGAATCTTGCAATCTTTTAATAGAAATTCCAATCCATTATATTCATTATAACGGGAAAATGGTTTCGCCTATCATCTCACTTGATCGCCGCCCGCCATTATTCTCCGTCGGATATAAATAATAAATTAACGTTTGTTTGAAGTACACGTTGCCACCATAACCAATGGCTCCCAGTAAAGGAAAAGAGCAAGTAACATTACACATTCAAAAAAATTCTACCTTCGTTCAACTAAAATGAAATCAGAACATCTGCTGGAAAATTTAACTGAATGATTGTTTGAAGAAACCTGATTACACTTTTGCTTCTTTCTTCTTGAGGCTTATTTATATTTAGGTAATAGAGCGTACATTGTGCTAATCAAGCGTTGTATACGATTCGGTAAAGCGTGGGGCAGTACACTAGTGAAATGAATTCAGCGTGGCATGTGTCCGGTCAATTTTACTAGCTATAGGATAATCCAAATTAACCTTCGTTTTCTACCGTATATTGAATCAAATGAGCTTATTTTCGGTTTTTAATTCAACATATATATTGAGTATATAAATACAGTGTAAGTGCAATTTATTAAATGCGTTTCGCTTTAAGGTCATTCCAATATTGAAAATATTTCATTGATAATATACGGCCTGACGAAATTCATTTGCGAATTTTTTTGCGGTGAATGGCGTTGCCTGACGCTCATGCGTGAATCAGTTATAAAGCCTCGGTCAAACGATATCGAGAATGAATGTTGAAGGGAGCTGGAACTAACGAATTGTTACAGGGGACATTTCAAGCTATAGATTAACAAAATTAAGGTTTGATAAGTGATCCAATTACGTTTTAACTTAAACAAAATATATTGTAGTCAACTCTCAGACATGTATCTCATTCAGATCCATCCTCTTTTCATTCGGGCTTAAGAATTCGATTGCGCTGTGTTTAATATTTCCTGGAAGAAATAAGTTCGCCATGGGTCCCCGCGGAATTTTTCTCATGCTATGGTACGAAGCTCGCCGTCCAGCAAGCCCAGGGGAAGCTACTTACTCTACCGGATATTCACACCTAGTTAAGGGAAACAATACAAGTTAAAGAGTCATGAATTATGGCTATAGCCATAATTATGTGTGTAAATATATATGTTATTTACCGGCTGCGAGGTCCAGATGAGAAAAAACGTTACCCGAGGTAAACGGCCCGAGCCCGAAAGGCTCATATTCTCAATAATAATAAAAATTAATTACTAAAAATTTGCAACATTTTCGGTTGCAAATCTGCAAGCCTTCGTCTGAGAAATGTGGCTAAAATCAGTTCCAACTATCAGGGTGCATGCAATGCAGAAATATACTGCTAGACTGAAATAACCATAAAAATATATTGCTACATATAAAAAATTTTGACTCAGGATATATACTGCATAGTCTGCATTGATAGTTAAATTACTCAAGTTTATGAGCAAATTTACTCAATTTTTTAAACAATTTCATTAGCCTGCGAGGCAAGCTCTGGTTTGGGAAGCGCCGGCTGCAGTCGCTTCTAATAAATTTCCGTGTATAGCGTTCGCCCGCGAACGCTAGCTTTTGATTGTCTATAGCTCTAATGATACGTCAGTCAACAATTATAATATCAATATTCAAAACGGTCAGCGAGAACGGCGGCCAGCAACGACGAGGCGTTCGAGGAGTGTTTACTAAACACTGTTTAGTAGAGCATGTACCAATAAATGTTCTATAGAAGTACAGGGATTGTAACGATATCCTGATAACTCACTGCACTGTGAAATAGTATGTAGTATCGATCCTATACGCGAGTGCTCAGTGCAGACATTCTAGGATTTCTGCACCGAATAAGTGTTGATGTTGCTACAACCTCGTTCCCAGGCTCTTTCCTCTACGCTCCTAGCTGGAGAAAATACCCTGGCTGGGGCTGGTCACGAGACCCATAGAAAATTGATAGCCCATTAGGGGGATGGGAAAGTCTCATATTACATGTTTCCACTTCCGCACTTCACACTTCGATTACCAGGAGTTGCCGCCTGAACAATATATCATCTTTCAGAATCAATTTTACTTAAAGGGAAATGGCAATATATTTTTTTATTTTCTTGTTTGAAAGAACATTAAAAAGCATATATAAAACTCTTTTACCGTTTTTACATATCTTGCTTACTTCTACAAATATTTTAATCGAAAGAAATGAAATGTCCGCCATCTTGGATTTTTGTAGATATGCATGTTACGTCACAACAGGGATCACGGAATATTTCTATCTAGACAACCACTAATCATTTTGCACTCAAAACTATACTCTGTATGCCCTTGTAAATATCAAGATTACTTGAAACGTTTAAAACATCTACCAATCAATATTTGGTCAGCAACGATTACTTTTATATGGTTAATCCCTGTTGTGACGTCACCAAAACTACCGTTAATGAGATCAAAAATTTATCCAAGATGGCCGACATCTCATTACTTCAAGTGAAAATATTTCAAGAACTAAGCAAGATATGAAGAGTCAGTAAAAGAAGTTATTAAATAGTTTCATAAGTTCTTTCAAATGAGAAAATAAAAAAATATGTTGCCATTTCCCTTTAAAAATACTTGTTAAAAATTGGTTTCTGTTTGCTTTTAAATTATACAAACCTGCTAAACTGTATATTCCTATAGAACGGACAAGTCATGAAATCAAGCAACGAAAACGTATGATCGTATGCTTTGAAATATTTGCCCTTTTATTCTCTCGGGGTTCGGGCGCAGTTTCATTTCACGCGTACGTTTCTGTTCTGCCTCGGGTTCAGATATTTACTGTAAAATATTTTTATAATATGCCATTGAATTGTTGTTATATGGAACGGTATAAATTTGTTAAATAGAGGTCTCACTAGCGACTATGTAGGTCGGTATAAATTTGTTAAATAGAGGTCTCACTAGCGACTATGTAGGTCGTGGCGCCTTGGTGGTCTTACAGCAAACGTTACACATTTGGAAATAGACATCGAATGTCTATTCAATACTAGATTATAAAAGCGTTTATAAACATAGTGCTCTGGATTTTCTTTAAAAAATAGGTTATCATCGTTTATATAAAACACCAGGTAGGAAGGAGTGTTAATACAAAATTGTTTGGGATCAACAGTACAGAATTATAAGACAATTCACAACTGTATGCTTTTCGTTTTTTGTCTGCAGGAATAACCGTACGTTGCAGCCAAAATATTGCACGGCATCTCCCATATAATCCAAAAGCCATTTACCCTCGCCCCTTGAATGCAAAGGAATGATAGCTGATAAGTTTTAGCAAAGTATTTTTTATTATATCTGGTATAAAATATATACATTATATATTACCCTACGTTTTAATCAGGGATACATAAATTCATAAACAGTATAAATGTGCGCACGAAATCTCGCTGATAGAATTCTTTAATGAATATATTATAAATTATAATATAAGTGTGATATAACAGACGATTTGATTGGCTAATGCGCGTGCATTGTAACACAATAATGCACTGCCTTGTGGCACTGCCTTGCTCTTTCTCTGTTTTTTCCCCTTTTCATCACTGCTTTTCAGCCAAAAATATAAACAAAACTTTTAAGCTTTTAAAATACAAAATTTACCAGAAAGCAAGAAGGAATAGACGAAAGAAACAAAGCAATTTTCTATAGTTCTACGTGTAAAATTAACCGGCTTGGCATTTGTCGAATTTGTTGTTGTCTCGACAAGTTTTGGGTAAGGGAGTGGTTATTATTTATGGGGAGGGGGATGGTAAATGGGAGGAGGAGCAAACGAAGTTTTACCCTTAAAAATAGGGGTCAAAAGATTAATGCAGAGAAAGGGGGGTCAAAAAAGTTTTTGAACTTCAATACCATGTCTAGAGTTTTGATTTCTATAATTACAAATAGCAAAAAGAAGACTCTCAAGATGCCATTTGCAACAATCTAGAGACTCAAAATTTTCAAAATTTCCCTGCACGGCGCCAACCATGCATGGTGGCGCCTTGTGGGCGTCGGGCCTACTAAATTTGAGTGACCCCTGAGTGACCCAGTTGTGGTATTTACATAAACATACCATGCAAGTACACTTAACGGATCAGATTCGGTGTATCAAAGCACAATGTAACGCTGTATTTCCAAAAATCTGTTTCAAAAAATGCTCACATTTTAGTCCTAGGGGTAAAAAAATACAAAACATTTTCTGGGGGAGAACAGATCCCCTACTAGTACATACGATACCACACCAAACTTTTTGTCACCAACAACCATCTGCCATCTCTCCACACTCAGTATAGTATGGTCCCTTTTTGTAGATGCCCCCCCCCCCAGACAAGTTCTTAAAAAAAGCCTCGTGTTCAAATCATTTCGCTGTATGAAGACGGGCCATGGGTTAGGGTTATGGTAGCCCAACTGTTGCATTGCAAAGTAGTAACACATAATATATATTTTTTAATCATGTATGGTTCAGTCATATTCACCAGGGTAAAACATCATGAACTAAATTAAACAGATTGTCCTAATATCTAACTTTACCTGCAACGCACACTTGTTTCATTGCTGTTAATTTTTCAATCCACATTGGGGTGTCAGAAAAGTTTCTACTTTTATGAGGGGGGACCAAAAGTTTGCCTTCAGTCTGGAGGGGGGGATCAAAAAAGTTTTCAATCCTTATTTTCCCCATTTACCAAACCCTCATCCCCATAAATAATTACCCCTCCCTAAAACCATACAAAATAGTCGACAAAAAAATACAGGAAGACCAAGTACATACAAAAAGGCAACAAAAACTGAATATAAGTGATTTAGAAGGCACCTTCAATTCTTCTAATAATAACTGCTAGATATATTTTCGATGAACGACAAAAAATACAATAATTTCGAAAATTAAAACTATATAACACGACAAAACGTACGATTTACCATCTTTTATGGCAAATCCAGCAGCCCAGATGCTGAAAAACTTTGGCAAATTAGTCTGTGTGTCACTGTTTTTTTTTTATTTCCACTATTTTAAATAATTTTTCCGGCTTTATAGCATCAAAAGTTTGTTTCTTCTTTTGGCAATTTTGCTAAAAGCGTGCGCGTGACGTCACTGAGTACATGTCAGGAGAATTTCAACGTCGATCTTTTGAGTAAAATTGTTTACTATGTAATGTCTGTAATATCTTCTGCTATATTATAAAAGAAATAGAAAAACTCTTCTCGTGCGTTTATGGTGCGATAATGCACTTAGGAAATGTTGGGAGAATACTTGAGAAGCGTATAAAATACTCGGCTACGCCTCGTGTTTTACACGCTTCTCTCTTATTCTCCCAACATTCCCCGCGTGCATTATCACACAATAAACGCACGCGACTCGTTTTCTATTTCTAAAATATTTAGAGTTTCCATTGATAGATAGATTTATATTTGTCTACAGTATCGTTTGGTGAAAGAAGGTCGATCACAGTATACGATAAAGTTTACTGCATGAATAAAGGTTGATATAAATATTGACTTGATGACCCACAGCGGTCATGATACAAGTCGAAAGAAGCTGGATTTTAAGCGGAATTATTCTTCAAATAAAGCCCCATGGGGCAATGCATGGCAATCCCAATGGCAATCCCTTTATAAGATTTATAATGTACCTGCTGTAAATTACTGCAATACACGAAATATGAAATAATTTACTATAAATTACAATACCAGTGTCTGGTCGCATGTTTGTCCTAAATATCCAAGTTGTACCGCACGCACGGAGGAGTATATTTGGCGTTCGTGTGATAACAGATAGCTTTAGTATTATACTTCGACATAATCATTCTTCATCGTTGAGTTTGAGCAATGTAAATGCAGGGAATGTTACAGTACATAACGGGTTTTAATCCAGTGCTTTCACAGTCAGGATAGCATTGTTTACACACAGTTAGGGTAGCATTGACATTGTTTACACACAGTTGGCGATGTTTGGGAAATCAAAGGATCCCGTTACAAAATAAATGTTTTGTTTTAAATATCGGACAGGATACACTTCAACTATAAACATGTAGAAGACATGTACGTTTCTACGGCGATGCGTGCTCAACTTCGCAAGCCAGGCGCGTGTATAGTCCTTTCCTTACAAGTGAAATATGATCCAACTTCTCGCTTGTACCGCAACACTTATTATTGATGACATTCAGTACAGCAGAACGTCTTGTCATGATGAGTACGAATTTAGAACAGTTCCTTTCACGATTTCATGTTGCAAAGTGCATTTTTATCACCCGAAACTATAACGCATAAAGTTACAATTTCCCAAACGCGACAAACAGACTCCCCTACTACCCCTCCCACAGCAATTATACTTTTTGCCACCCAGAATTTAGGTGGTACGTGACCAGCCCCAGCCAAGGTATTTTTTCCAGCTAGGAGCGTAGATGAAAGAGCCTGGGGACAAGGTTGATGTTGCTAAAGCAATATAGCGTTGATTCGTCGCTTATTTTCATCATCTTTCAAATTTTCCACTAAGGTGTTTGAGAATACAGAAAGTTGATCTGGTTTGATGGATTTTAAACAGCTGTCCGATTTACAGAAGGCTTTGCATTCCAGATCAACTTCTCACTCTAAAGCATTGATTAGTTCCCTCGAGAGAAACTCATCCGAGAGAAACAAATGTCTCTAACTTTAACAGTTCCAATTTTTGTCACTGAATTGCTTTTATCAACAACTCGGATGTTTGCCATCCCTGTATATATTTATTGAAATCGACAATCTGCAGAAGTTATGGTGAATTTACTTTGGCAACGTGATTGACATTTCGCAGGAAATAAACAACAAAATTTTGCTCTGATATGATTGGTCAATCTATAGAGCGAATTTGAATTTATTATAAGGGCGGCACGAAAATTTATTAGAAGCGACTGCAGGCTCTTCTTCTCCCAAACCAGCATTCGCTCATGCAACATTCCTTAAAATAGTTATTCCGAAGTTGATGAGAGGACTGGGGATGATGAATTTGATCGGAAATTGTCGTCAGCTCGAACATCCGACGACTTTTTGTTTTTATTCGAAGGGAAATCGGGAAGAAAATTCAAGAAATCCCGAATTTTCATATTAGGTTTAATTGTTCTCTATTTCTTGTCATTTGTTGCTTGATTTTGTCATTTACATTATATTATTGTAAAAACATCGCTATTTTGGCGATCTTGTTCATTTTGCGTATGGTGCACGACTACAAATCCATTCATATTTATGGATCACGTGTTTACATCTGGTCTACGTACCAAAAATCTTAATATTCAACCTTGCCATTGTAATATCCCCTGGTGCTGTCGAGGGTGTTGTGGTAAATTCAAATGTGTGTATGTCTTTGTGATACACATGATTTATAGAATCAATGTGTAATGCGCTTCATAGTTGTTTTTGAAATACCATCATGTTTCTCTGCTGTATTATGGAAATTCACTGGATAAATATTTATTCTTTATGAATTATGGATGATTCTATTAGCAGAGTAAAAACACTTGCATCGAACCAATGAAATCATCAGCTAATTTACAATATAGGCTTGCAGAAGAAAACAGGCTAGATCATTTAGCACAGACTACACACAGCAGTGCAATTTAGATAAGTAGACCATTCATTTTGAAGAAGCAATGGGATTATAAATATGGATCCCAGTTTTATTATGGTATGTACTGTTAGCATATATACCTGTAAATAAACTTAACGTAGTCAGTTTGATTTACTTTTATTGTCACTGTATGTATGAAAATATGATCATTAGCAAAATAACTTTCTTTAAGAATATTCGCTGGTGTACTCATATTACTGTATGCCATTGTGTATAGCTGTAGTGTGGATAGGTAGGTAGGTAGGTAGGTAGATAAACTTTATTTAAAACAACACGCTAGCCTCGTCAACTTTCGCTGATTTCCACGAGGGGCGTGTTCATTACATCAATATAAAAATATTTACAAAAATATTTACAAAAATTAACCTATTAGTATGGCTATGTATAATAACTATATTTACAATAAATTACGTAAAATTGTGAGCAGCTGTAATTCCATTTCTAAATATCAGCAATGAATCCGAATCACGCAACTCTGGGGGTAAGGAATTCCACAATTTCGCCCCATCATAAGAAAAACTTTTTTTTAGATTTTCAGTTCTGGGAAAAGGTATTTGCAGAGAGGTAGTGGAGGAAGTTGTGTACTATCTCCCCCTTTCTATCGCCTGACTGTAGCATGTTGAATTCCACTTATTGATTTAATATATTTCGTTTTGACATTAGTAAGTTGTATTACCAAGCGTTTCAAACGACCATATAACAACAATAAGTATATTAACAGATATTGTAGCTTGCGAAAAATAGCTACTCCGGCATTTTGGTATTATCAATTCAGTCAGCAGATTTTAAAGGACAATGGAAACGAAAATTTTTATTGGCTATTTCAATAGTTTTCTGTGTGCTTGACCGGCAGGACGAATGAACCACGGTTTTGCTTGCTTTGAGTCTGAATACTGAGTTCCGATCCAGGGATGGGCATTTGGGTCGAATTTGTTCCAGTCGTGTTTCTTTGGGGGAAATAATTTGTTGACGTTAAATGCATCAGCATCATCATCTTCGTTTTCTATTGAAGAGAAAGAAGAATGTAAAGTTGTATTGATTTGTGCAATATCTAAAATCAATGCAAAGTTGAGCGCCGTTTTAGAAAATGCTTTATAATAATGGTAATAATGGTAAAACGTTTCCAGCTCTTTGATACTTTTTTGACCGTTAACAATAGAAATTTTGGAAGAAACATACATTCTTAGTAGTGGGTGTGTCATAATTACGCGACTGTTAACATATACTTACTTTTGTCTTTGTGCCTGTGATTATGGTGTTTATGGTGTTCTTGATGCTTTTGTTTGTTATGTTTAGTTTTCTTTCTTTTGAGCTTCAATTTTGAATGCTTCGTATGCTTTTCTTTTTTTAAATGTTTCGCCTTTGTTACTTTCTTTTTATCTTTTTGCTTTTTCTTTTCAGATTTATGTGGAGGTTCTGGTTTTGTATGTTTGGTGACATGTTTTGGTGATTCTTTATTCTCTACTGGGATTAATGGCACATCCATTGGTGCTAAGGTATCTCCTTCTTCATCGGCTACATCACCATCGCCCTCGTCATCTTTGCTTCCACTTACTTCATTGTCATCAGAGAGTGAACCATCGTCTTCACTGTTTTTAACTTCTTCCACTGCATCTGGGAAACCTTCAAGCTCGAATTCTAAAATATAATTAATTACCTCCGTGAGAAGGTTACGTTTTCACAAACACCTCGGCTTGTTTGGTTGTTTGTGTGTTTGCTTTGTGTGTGTATTTTTATCACCAATAACTCACGAAGTTTTCTTTGTGTGTGTATTTTTATCACCAATAACTCATGAAGTGTTAAATGGTTTAAAAATAAGAAAATGTGCATGCTATACATGGAACAAAGACAAAATGATGTACTACAAGGTCCAATGAAGAATTATTAAGTTTGGTTGAATTTGAATTAAAATTGCATGGATGCAATATTTATAAACATATTTATTGCTTTTCCGCGCTTGGTTAGGCCCGTTTCATACGCCGTACTTCACATGTGCCGAATACATTAAAAACAATAGATAATGAGGCATTTCAGCTCATTATCTATTGTCTTTAATGTATTCAGCACATGTGAAGTACGGCGTATGAAACGGGCCTTAAAGGACTAATTGCAAAATTTATGGCTAAACAGAAACTGTTTCGTAGGCAAGATATTTCAATTGGCGCATTTGGTAGAATATTTTGATAGGCAATATTATAGGGCATCTTGTAATACAAAGTCGTATATAATTGATTGAAATGTTATTGAACAAGCCGTTATGGAACAAAATTATCGAAACATAGCAAACTACATTGAATCGTTTTTCTGAATTTTTGCTCTGGGTAGATTTGCCACTGATTCTTGCTAAAGGCTCTTTTCCACTCATCGCAAAAACAGCTCGCAGCTAGCTTGCGAGTCCTCGCAAGCTCGCAGATCAATTTCCACACTTCCATCTCGCGTGACTAATTCACGTTTTTGCAAAATGGCGGCCGCTTTAAATCTGCGCCTTTTGCTCTTTCTTTATTTAAGACGACGTAGGAGAAGACGTCTCAAGTATGTAAAATGTTTTTGGGTTCGCCACGTGATATTTGATGGTAGTCATGTGATATTTTCATAGAATTCTATTGGCTACTGGTCTTCTTTGTTCGCGCGATCAGAAAATATTGTTCAAATTATTTAACTTCGCTGCGAGTGTTCGCAAGCTCGCTGCGAGTTACTCACTAGTCCTCGCAAGCACTCGCAAGCTCGCTGAGAGGTGTTTTTGTGATGAGAAAAGAGCCTTAACGCCAGGCGATTGAATTTTGCCGGTATTCTTCGATAATGAGTGTACACCTCCCCCTCCCCCCTTCGCCTTCCTTCAAAATATTAAAAGTCTGATGAAATATCTACATTATATGAACATTAAATCACATGATTAGATCCGTTATTTGATTATCTATGATAATCATGTGTCGGAATCGCAAATCGTACTGCTTCTTCCGGTCCCAGTAAAATAAGTGTTATCTAAAAAGTGATCTTTTATCAGAAATAAATCTACCAGCTGCATATTACATAGCACCAATTAAAAGTGACATGAAGCGAAGACTTTTTGCACGTGTCGTCTGCCAACAACAAACAAAAATAAATTAAAAGATAAAGAACATCTGCGGCTTAATAATTGTTATAAAACAGTAATGAAAATGAGCTTATTCATATTGTTACATCGTGCCGAGATTGACATCTAATCAAAACTGTATACGAGAGCTAAATTAAAAGCAATAAAATACCAAATTACGATGTATGACACTGTCAAAACTGCAATTTAATACAACATTGTCCATAAATAAATACTTAATTTCGCGACGTTTCGAGGCAATATTTCGCGAGATTTTATTTTCGCAAAATAGAAAGCTTTCTGAACAAAATTTTATTTTCTATAAAATCTGAACAACAACTTTCGAAACAAGACAACATAGGGTGTATACTGTTATGTACGGTAGTCCGCAATGTTTTTACTCATCATTTTACTCATCTTTATTGCCGGTGACAAAACAAAATGCAAACTGTATATGTAGAGCTTAATGCTAAGACTATTATTAAATAATTTGTTATTTATGTCGATATATGAAATTTGAATGAATATCTCAAAAAATATATATCTCAAGAACCACTTGCTGAATTTGTTCACATACCGTCTTTGTGTTTGAGAATATGATGAGCATTGTTCAGATGTTTTCCTGTAAAGAATTGGTAAACGTATTAAATGCTACTTTAACACTTTTTATTATACATTGTAGTCACTATACATGTCTTCTGATTCGCCAATAGCTTACAGCTACTTGTAATCTAGTATAGAAATAAGGCAATCTACAGATAACACTGTTGATTGAACCAGCGGTATATGTAATTTTATAGCAAGCAGTAGCTTTATACATACACGAATAAAAGAATAAACACAAAAAATAACATGAACAAACGATTTTTTTGTGTAACAAGCAAACGTTTTGACATTTTTATGGAAGGTTTAGTAGGTAAATGAGTTTTCTAACAATTTTAGACGTGCCTTTGCCTATACTAACCCCTTAATGCATTATGGTTGAAAATTGCCTTGATGCATTTTGGTGGTTAGGCAACAATTTTGGTGGTTAGGTAAATTTGGATTCAGTCAATATTCAATAATATTCATGACAGCATGTTTAACATGATTGCATCTTTATAAAATTAATCACCACATTAATTTAGACCCTGTTTACACTATACCGGATTGCATCGCAGCGTAGCGATTTTCATACCGGATTCGGCTGCTGTTTACACTACGCCACAGTCATCCGGTACGCGCGATGCGGCGTAAAAATCACTCCGCTTTGGAGATGATATGAAATGTAATCGGGTATGTGCCGAAGCAGTGTATAATCAGGCCAAACTGGTACGCTTCGGTACAAAATCGGTTTTGGCGTGTACGTTTTACCATTGGCGCCTTTTTTGCTCGCTTTTACAGTACTTTAGAGCTGTCGCTTGTTTCGCCTTACAACCATTTACTATTTCTGGCGAAGACAAATAAAGAAAACGACAATAACATTGACTTTTCCCTTTCGATAGGGCAAAATTTAAAGAAATGCTAGTCAATTTTGGATTAGAGCGAAACGAAGCAACGTCTGGTGGTCGAGCTTTTTAAACAAAGTTATACCTTACAAGGAAAACGTGTGTTGCTTATTGCTTTTAATACATTTTAGTATACTGGCAAAAAATATTACTTGTTTCCATGGCGACAGCGAGACATGAGCTGGCAACAGAGCGAAGCGGCATGCATAGTGTAAATACCCTTGTTTTTACTTCGGAGTGAAAATTAATCCGGTATGGAAAGTAATTCGGTATAGTGTAAACGGGGCGTAGAGAGTGTTGAAATATTTCAGTTGGGACAACATGGTATATATTAAAAGATGATTTCCACTCCGTTCTGCGCATCAGTTTTTCTCATAACAAAGAGGGACCCCAGAAATAAACATTGCCCCAATTTTGCATCTTTCGAACTTTTTTTACTTGAAACGAAGAGTTTGTATTAATTTACAAGCATAGCGAATCAGAAAAGTGTTAGATATTCAGTAAGTATATTATATTTTACAAATATAGCAGTTCAAAACATAAACAACGTTCGCGCATGCGCACAGAAGTGGACATCATCTTTAATGTATATGCAGATGTAAAATATTTTCGTAAATAACTATTAATCCACAGTCTCATTCTGCTCTATTATTTTTTATCATGACATGCATCAGAAATATGGTTGGCCTTCCCGAAATTTAGAGGACAAAATTGAATGTAAATTATAGTGAAGAAAAAGAAAATATCTTAAATTTCTAAGTTTAATCTTTCTTACCTAATGCGTTGTCAACAGCATGCTTCACTTCTTTTGCAGCTTCTTTCAATTTCTGGCCTTTCAAAGTCAATAATTAACATTATTAATTTCTTGACTGAAATCCTGACATATATTGTACGCTCTGTTACTTGTAAAAGCTGTCTACATATATACAGTTTGTGGGGAAATAGGAAAATTTAACTACACCTTAAGAACTGCTATAGAGCTGTGAGTATGTGACCCATTCTTAACCTACCGATTTTATGTTCCAGTAATTGCGAGACAGCTTTATGTACTTCTTTTGCTTTTTGGGCATCTAGTCCACCTGTTTTTCCTTTAGCTATAATAAGCCAGAAAATATCAGACAATTGGTACAAAAATCTTATGCAATAACAATTTAAAATACTCATTAATAATAATTCATGTACAAAATTTAAAAAAAAATGAATGTTTAATCAATGTTTGTAAATCGGATAAAGATTTGTCCTGATTTACATAAACTTCAGTTATGATTTTCTCTGCTTAGACAAAGTTTATTTTAAAAATTTCTTTGCCTATAAACTCGTAAGATGGGTCGTTTTATAAATACGCTAAAACATTTGCATCCGATCTTTATCTGATATACAAACTCTTGCCTTCGGCTCGAGTTTGTATATCAGATAAAGATCGGCTGTTCATGTTTTAACTAGTAGGCTACTTAGTTGTCAATATGACGGGCAGGACGACGATGTTGATATATTCCTTTCTCAACCAAGCTGGAGGATTAAAAAGGAGAAGCTAATCGAGAATTTAGGGTAATGAATTAACCTTAATTAAAAGTATATTAAAATTATACACCGCAAAAGGTCTAGTTATTAAAATTGGCTTGCGCCTAATTTACAAGACTACTCGAAGGCATGCATGCCTAAAGAGCATCGTTTCCGTGTCTGGTACATTGACTTGAGAGCGCTTTATCTTGTCACTGCCATTAGAAAACGATGAACAGTACTTTATATTAGAAAGCGAACTACGTGATTACTTAGATGTATTTGTAATACACCCTTTCGGAAAATGCGTAGTCTTGTTTATAGAGCCTCGTTTTCATGATTAAGATAGATTTAGACACATTTACGCAACCATACAGTATGTAATAAGCGACTACGAAATAATCAATTTCAGATTTACTGCGGATGCGAATTCTGATCAAACTATCATTCTATTAAATTATCTTATAAAATGATTAACATCATGAATTAATTGAAATATTATATAATTATTATCAATTCCGAATCGTTTTTAGTTAGTTTTAACATATTGTCAATAGCTTATAAAAAGAGACGTATAAATTTATTAACAGGTAACTACGTTTGAGATAACTTACTTTTAGTTGCTTTTCCTGTGCACTGATGAGCACAAATGAGTAAAATAGCCAAGAGGCTGCTTTTCAATGGCCAGAACGAAGTCATAGTGATTGCTACGTAAAAATATTAATGCAATAATGATATTATGTATATAAACAATTAGAAAATGAAGATACCTGGTAATTTAAGAGAATAATTTGTAATAATGAAGATGAACTCGTTGTCTGCATAACAAAAAATTGACACTTTCTGAATTTCCTTGGGTGCACGCAAAACAGTAGCATGAACTCGGGGCTGACAATGTGCACGTGATCATATTATAGTCAACATAAAGTTTATGAAACAGTGGAATGGGGATGACGATCAAACTTAAGGACACAATCAAGTTTCTTATTGGGGGCCAGATTTAAGTCCCGTATGTAAGACCCGGATGTAAAAGCGTAAGCCTATATTGACTACATTGTAATCTCCCTAGCAATATCGCCTTAGCAACAGTAAATATTGACCATAACTGTCAACTGCAGACTTTATGCTCATTATCCTCATTATGAGTGATGCTCATTCAATGAACAAACCGGCTCAAAACGTCTTATATGCAGGCTCTGAGCGACTATCAAAGCTTGTTAAAAGGACTAAAAGAGCTACATTTCTGACAGACACCCTTCCATAAATCAACGTTGTTGACTCATAGCTGTCGACGAAAGGTTTATGAACGCGCTCCCGCCGCTTCAAAAGCAGTGAAGGAGTTCAACTCTTTTGCAACGTGAAAACCAGTGAATATAAATGTTCTTATAATAATTCGAGATTAGTTCCATCATACAATTTAACTTTCAGACTGTATCTTCCCAGACATTTCAGTTATGCTGTTTGAAAATTGTAACATTCCCTGATATGACCTTCTACTCTATGTAATAATTAAGTATTAAAATCATATATCTCAAACGTGGGGATCCAGTGATGATAGTTTTCTACAATAGGCTGCCACGCTTGGTTTGTCTGAACTCCACGAATTACTATAAACACTTTGACGTTTCAACCGAAAGCCTCTCGTTAGGACGATAAATTTTCGCTCGATATGTCGATGAGTGTTTTAGTTGCTTAGGTACACAGACCATGGTAGATTATTAAAATAATATATAATTTTTTCCTAATGAAATTCTGTAAAAATCGAGACAATTTTACGCTTAGATTGAACATGCTTTGTAAATGCTGTAATATCCGATGTTTGCGATTGGATAATGTAAAGCATCCTACTGATAACAGTGCCAAATTTTCACGTGACATTAATCAGTGAAGATTTAAAGATGAGATTAAACCTCTTACTAGTTTCGCGCACAAAATTTGCCCATAATTTAATAATTGTCATACCTGAAGAAATTCGGTTTATTTCTTCTTTGTTTCTTCCCCCGCGAAGACGGCTGATTCCTGTCAAATTCACTCAAGGGTGAAATGATGTTATTAAATACCAGTCCTGTAATTTATCTATTTACTGGTGCCAGTCTTTGCAAAAAATATTGAAATACAATCAAGGGAAGACTATTTGTTTGTTTTTGAAATGTTTTCAATTTTGTACGTCTATTTATTTTAGTGAATTTTCCGGACATCTTACACAAATATGCGTTCTGATTGGTACACTAAAACTACTTTATAATTTCATAATTTCATAAAAGTAAAGTTAATTGACTTAACACCGCGGAAAAATGTTTGCGCATGCGTTAACTTTGCTGAAACTTGCTATGGAACGCGTGGTGTCAAAGTGTTCCGAAGACTCCAAATGGACGCAAATAGAAGTGACTTCGATTCCATGGGTGTCTTTCCTGTAAAATTGCGAGGCTGAGTAAATAATGCATGTACAAAATTATAGTCTGTAAGTGCAGGAATAGTATTATGCAAGAAAATGAGCCATATGTGACAGTCGATAAATTTGTTGAATAAAAAGTTCTTAAAGATAAATTTGTTGTATAAGAAGTATATACAAGGATACTTTTCGTTGGTTCTTATGACTGACATTTTTTCTCAATACCTTTTTTCCGTAAAATAATTTTTTCCATATACAGTGTTTAAACTTTATGATTCACTCATTTAAACATTTAGGACATTAAGGCCCTTATTCTCCTGAGAATGTTTAAACTTTACGTCTAAATTTTTCACGAAGCACTCGATACATCTCGATATTTTTTATCGAATTAATATTTATTTATGTCCTTTAAATGCAAGAGGACTTATGATTAAGGGTCCATTGAGGTCTATAGTCTCCCCTTCCCTGTCAATTTTCTTGTTTGTTTCAGTTATCTCGAATGAATAATTGTCCGTGTTCTTCTTCTGAATAATAAAACTTTGTTCCTTTTAATTCTTGCTCGCATGCACACGAACTGTTTTCAGTGGTTTAAGTTCAGCGGCGCCACCGCTCTAACCAACCGAGCTGCGGAGGCCAGTTGTTCAACATAAGCGTGCCTGGTTAGGTTAATTAGGTCTTAAATTGTCTATAATATATGCTCACTTGGATTATCCACCAAACCCAACATAACTGAGCCATATATATCAACATAAATCATGTAGTCTTTCTCACGCAATGCGACCAGGCCATGTCCACCATTTTTGGAAAGCATCACACAAGGGTAATGGATGGCAACATACGAAAAAGCGAATCACACTGCTATTGTTTATATAAGTACTAGAAATACATTTTCCAACATTGTTTCAACATAAAGTATTCTAAATTAAGCCAACACTGAACGCACCACGTACATTGTTCTTAATTGTCCATTTTTTGTGCAAACACCAAAAATAGAGAAGTTTAACATTTTTAACCCTTCTTTTAACCGCAGAACTATCAATTTCTATTTTATATGAAGTAGGCAAATTATTTAATTAATGCATGCTATAACCTTCAATTTGATGTGAAATCAACCTTGGACACTTCATATTATAAGATGACCATTAACTGTTCCGCTGTTTCCGAGTTGTTTGGGGGTATTTTCCGATTGCCTATTTAACTTAGTGGGAGGGGGGGGGGGGTAGCTGCCACCCCAGTCAAAATGGAGTCGGGAAAATTATAAACGTAAGTCGGGCAAAAATTGGGGGAAATAGGAAGACATATGCAATATAGTAGTTGAAAATACAAGAATTATGTAAAAGTAAAGTAACGAGAAATTGTAACAGATTAGGAATTTTTTTCTCCCCCCCCCCCCTCCGTCGACAACAATTTTGGAAAGTTTACGCGGAAAATTTTTTCCAATAAGTCGGGCGCAATGGGAAAAAGTCGGGTAAATTTACTTCCACTCCACTAATTTTTTCCCTCCCGTACGCCCATGATTAATTGCAAAACCGAAAACAACGTACGTGCATGTTCAGCGAAAAAATATAAAGCAAATACATAAAATAATCAAAACAAACTTGCCTTACATTTCAAGATTCCCCCATCTTATGTCTTTTTTTGTCATTTCTTTAAAGCAAAATTTAAAATATCGCTTTACAGCTCATTGAAACGACTTTCCTATATGTTTTCAAAATCTTCACAGTTGGCTTATTCCACTCGTGATATTCCGCCATATTTTGCGATCAATAAGATGGCCACCAACTACCCAACGTATGAAATCGCTAGCAGCTTTCCTTTTCTTGGGTGTAAATAGCCGTATGGAATTAGTACCCTCGCCCTGGGCGATGGCCTGGAATGGCGCGCTGACTCGAGAATGATTTACTCTACTAAAGCCTGGTTCACTAGCAGATATGATTGAATGAATGACAAGTAAAACTCAGCAAGAGCGTTTAAAAAGTTAATATAAAGAAAATCACCGCTGACCCGTGAGACGGGAACGCAGGCGTGAAACGAAAACGTTTGAGGGCAGGAAGAGAAGCCTCCTCCAAAAGCCACACCCAATGGCTTGGAAAACGGGAGGAGGCAAATTGAAAACTTAAGATAGATGAAAAGTGAAATTCTTCATGGCGGTGCTTTCAAAGACAATTGTGGAAAACTAGAAACAAAACTGGTTAGCGTCAGTAACGAATCATTTAGTAAATATTGGCGCAGCGGGAAAACCCGTTGTTCGGATTGCCTTACCCTAACATTCGATGATCGATGGTAATATATATTGCTACCTTTTATACCCAAAACGGACAATATATTCATTACCGATCTTCGCACCCCCAAACAGAATTTAAAGCCGAAAAAACGGTCAAACAAAGTGTCAAATCATTGCAAGAACTTGTAGCCAAAGAGACATTTAAGAATTTTCAAACTCTGTCTAAATTGAGACGACGCAACATAAGTGTTTAATGTTTTGTACTTTGAATCTAGTACTTGCGAAATACATCATTGCTTTATAACCAGTTTGTGTATTTCTCATGTATATTGTTGAAATTAACAAGGCAGTCTCCCCCCTGGACCTCGACAATTCGGGCATTATTTCGACAGAGGCAGAGGTTTCCTTGTTTCGCGATTTCATTTTACTTCGTGCCTACGTTCTTCTCTTCCTTATAATCAGCAGGAGTTCCCCACTCTTCCCTTTACAACTTCATGTTAGGAACACATAATAGTTAGAAACACATAATTAATCAGTCGGAAACCTCTGCGGAGGAGAGAGCCTTCGGCAGTTGTTATTTTCGTTTGTTACTGCACGGTTAGCAAACCAAAGTGGTGGACAAAGGTAGGTCGCGTTGCACGAGAAAGACTGATTACCATAAGCATGCATCCCGGACAAATGTAAAAATGTGCGGTACGAACAGATCGAGAGGTTTTATTGCTATACCACGCGAGGAAGTTCATGCACAAAATCACGTACACAATTGTTTCAAAAAAGGATACAGTATATATAGTAAGCTATACGCATATACAACTACGTCATGCACGCAATGCAATGAAGAGTAATAATATGTTTCCATTGTACGTATACAATTGCGGAGTAACATGAAAATCTACTATGCATGCATGCATTCAGATATATATATATATATATATATATATATATATATATATATATATATATATATATATATATATATATATATATATATATATATATATATATATATATACCGGGCTGATAGCTCAGTTGGTAGAGCGATGGGCTTGTAATCCAGAGGTCGCCGGTTCGAATCCGACTCAGTCTCAACTTTTCCTGTTCACCAAAAAATATTTACCTACGGTGATTAACACACACATATATATATATATATATATATATATATATATATATATATATATATATATACAATTAATTTAATCGTAGTAGGAGTAACTGGCCTGTGTAATATAACTCGACCATTACACATAGGAATTAATGCATAGGAATGACAAAAACTATATTCAAGTTTCTTCAACCTTGAATTAGGGCGATATTTGCTATACAAATTCGTAGTGAAAGCCTGCAGTTCGTGTAAAATCATAACAAAACCTAGCTGGTTGACGCGTTTTTTCTTGAAGGTTGGCAAGTCAGATTGCTTTATTACCAGTATCGGCTTCTTATTGTTCAATCGCACGCGACGATTGAATTGTCATTGCTCTCAGGCTCAGCATATAGCCTAAGTTTTGTCTATTTTTTATTTGCTGCGTAAATCTGTAATTTGAACTTTTGGAATTTCCTACTGCTGAATTCTGCTGAATATAATTTGCGACAAGTAAAAGTTCCAGAGTTTCAACCAATTAACATGCTTAGAATATATCATGGTGTTGTAGTATTAATTCGATCTCGGGTGAGTGGTGACACCAAAGTGCCAAGTTCGATCTTTTGGGAGCAAACATTCAAACAGGAAAGATTTTTATTCAAATTTTCTACTTATAAAGTTCCAAAGACCTAATAAAACACATGGAATTTGTTTTCAAAGGTATGTCTATTGTGTATTTACTCATTTGTATGCGGATAGTTACTTGATATACTGTGTAGTTATATTTTTAAATCGAAGGCCTTGACAGTATTTTATAGTCGCTTCGCCGAAGGCATCTGTTCAGGTGTAAATTTTCGATTTACAGAATTACAGCCTCTACTTAATATCTGTTTTGTTGAGAAAATCGTATAGCTTATTTTGAATTGTGTGATATACATGTATATTGTATTTTCTGTTAAGTATTTGCTAAGTTGACATTATCAACTCTTGACGAAGGGGCCGGAAGGGCCTTCATTCGAAACGTCGAGTTTCTGCTTGTTTTTTTTCATCAACATGGAAACTTATCCTCATCTGGTAAGTAGTCAAATACCACATAATAATATTTTATTATATACATTTATACAGTATAAAAACAATCATTGTGTAATATTTTAAACAGTCAAAACTCTCGCTGCAGGCATTAATATATTGCCAATTAACAATATCACAAGAAACTATTGTTCTCAGGAGATATTGAATTAAATCCTGGTCCTGTAACTCTGTTCAAAACAACAGTCCAACTAAGTTGTCATCAAATGTATATAGTGTTAGAGCAAAGGTAAAGATGTCATCAGTTAAAATTATACTTATACATTTTGGTTTTACACATTAATAGAGTTAATTAAACAAAATTGTTACAACCATTTTCAAATGCTATTAAAAGAATCCCCACCCTCCTTCCTCATTACATTGTCATTTTGCTTTCTAATATAAATATTTTTGTTTAGAGATTAATACAAGAATGATGAATACATGTACTGATCTACTGGATATTGGCTGGATAATTTTGCAAGACAATTTTGCAAGACAAGACAAACTTACCTAAATTCATTAGTAGGGGAAATAACTTAACAGCTA